ACCGACCTTCGTTGAAATGTTCTTTGCCGGATGCGCCTATAGCCTTATCCGACGACGGCAAAATTGTCGCATTCCTTGAAGCAGGATACACCAAGTTTCAAACCGAGGACGGACTGCGTACCACCACCAACGACTTATGGAGGCTCAAAGCTCTGTCAACTGACGAGGGAAACCTTATTGCGACTTACAAGCTTCCACTTGGGTCTGTGTCCTTCAAGTCGAAGGCCAAATTATTAGCCATTTCGCCTGATTCGCAGTGGATAGCCTTCGCGTCGGATTTCTTCGGCCTAAGCATTTGGTCACTTGCATCCCACATGCGGCGTGACTTGATTAAATCTTCAGTTCAGCCGGTGGTGGCGACATGGCAGGCAATAGCATTTTCGCACGATTCAACGAAACTTGCGCTGGCAACCAATCACGAAACAGTACTGATATGGTCAGTTGAGACTGGCCAGTACTTATGTATAAGAAACGTCGGGTACATTCACGATATTTCTTTTTCTGATAACGACGCGTTTCTGAAGACATCGTTTGGAGACATCAACACCCAGGGCTTGATTCCGTTAAGTTGGACCGAATTACTGAAAAGGAATTTTAGAACTGCGAATTTTCCCACGATGGTTTCAAGGACTCCTCGTTGGCATGGCTATGGCATTGACCCTTCAGGACGTTGGATAACTTGGCACGGGATCAACGTTGTGTTTCTGCCTGTGCATCTTAGCCCTAACCTGGGGATAATTGACAAGAAGGCACGTCATGCAGCGGTGGGAAAGTTTTCTGTCACGTGGATAAGTGACACAGGCAGACTGTTTACCCTGTGCTTCTCTCGATTCATACCGCCATTTAGCCTAGATGACCCCATGGATAGATGATCAAGTACAATTTTGGTTCCAATTGCTTTTCAGGTCGTGATAGCACTATGAATAGCTGAATTAATCCTAATTTCTCTTTCAGTATGAACCTATATAGTTCCCCGGGTAAGTCTGTGTCAGTGCTGTGCAAAGTCCAGAGTGGTGTATGGACTCTGAGGGTTTCAACACGTGAATAGAAAATATATTTTCAGGTTTGATGGTATCCCCGAGAACATAGACTAACATGTCTTGGACGAATTTACGAGATGGTATCACAAAACACAAACAAACAGCAGCTCGCCTGCAACATCAGGCTACGTCCCTACCCAGGAGCCTCGCAACCTCACTTCTTGTCCGTACTTGCCGTCGTCTCCGAGTCCACCGCCCCCGGGATCTTGCCCTCCATAACCCCGTCCGGCCCGGGCTGGAACTCCTCCTTGGCCACGGGCGGGCCGTGGAAGTTCTTCCTCGCATAGGCAAAATACCACGTGATGGCGATGAAGGCGAAGCCCGCAAAGACCACCGAGGCGTAGTTCATGGTCGAGGCGTCGACGGGCAGGCTGACGGGCATGCAGAAGATGATGACGGAGAAGCAGATCCACAAGATGCAAATGGAGTTGATGGCAGTGCCGAACTTGCCGAGCGGGTAGGGCGAGTTGGCGACGGCGCGGCGGCGCTGGAGCAGGTTCACCAGCACGGGCACGCCGTAGCTCGTCGACAGGCAGATGGTGGCGACGCCGGTGAAGGAGTTGAAGGCGGCGCTGGAGCCGAAGTAGATGCAGCCCAGGATGCAGTCGACGGCCGTCGACAGGCCCAGGGCCCAGAGGGGCATGTCGAGCTTGGGGTTCACGCGGGCCCAGAGCTTGTACCCGGGGATGGCGCCGTCGCGGGCAAAGGCGTAGGTGCACCGCGACGCGGCGGTGAGGGCGCCGATGCCGGCGAACATCAGGATGCCGAGGAGCAGGAAGAGCAGGCCGAAGCCGCCGGCGGCGGAGCCGGTGACGATCTTGAAGAGCAGGCCGATGGGCTGGGAGTTGGCGACGCCGAGGAGCAGCTGGACGTCGGGCAGGACGAAGAGGATGGGAATGAGGTAGATGACGCCGGTGACGCCGGCGGCGGCAACGGAAAGGACGATGGCGCGGGGGACCTCGCGTTCGGGGTTCTGGACCTCCTCGCACATGGAGGCGACCATGCCGTAGCCGGTGAGGGTGTAGGCGGCTGGGATGGTGTTAGTTGCGGTGTTCGTCTGATGGTGGAGGGGGGAGCGAAGCTTCGGGTGTACATACCTTGGAGGAGGCCGATGAAGAAGGACCAGCCAGAGGGCCAGCCGCTGCCAGAGGCGTCGTAGTGGGTGAAGACGAACTCGGCGGACCGCTTGGTCGGCGCCATGACGAGGATGGTGACCATGATGATGAGGACCGAAGCACCGGTCCAGTAGATGCAGACCTGCATCGTCAATACGGGCAATTCTAAGATGTTTCACGAACTCTGCAAACTCACCTTGTTGATCAGGTCCAAGTATTTCGATCCAAAAGCGTTCACCGAGGCGCACACAAGCATAACGGCCCAGAAGCACAACACGGTCTGCCACTGGTTGGCGACAAAGTCTTCGTTGAAGATGCTGATGGCGCTCAGAATCAACTGCGCGCCGCTAAAGTTGATGCTGAGCGTCACGGTCCAGTTGCCCACGAGCGTCAGCCACCCGTCGACGAAGCTGACGAGCGGCGCCCAGCCGGCGGGCGCCAGCATGGCGGACCAGTAGTACACGCCGCCGGCGGTGGGGTAGACGGCGCAGATCTCGGCGAGGGAGGCGGCGATGCAGAGCGAGATGAGGGAGACGAGGACCCAGCCCCAGAGGACGGTGACGGCCTGGCCGTTGGTCAGGGTGATGTACATGGTCGTGCTGAGGCCGAAGGGCACGGCCATGATGGCGAAGGAGAGGCCGAGGATGGACATCATGGAGAGGTTACGCGGGAGTTCGGCCTTGTAGCCGAGCCGGGCGAGGGCCTGGTCGGCGGAGACGCGGGGAGGGCTTCCTCCATGGTTGCGACGAGGTCTGGCCGGTGGATCGAGTGTCGTGTGTCGTTGTGTAGTTGCCGACGTCGTGAGTTCTATATGCTCGAGTTGCAGCGACTCAATTGATCGGGAACGTCGACGGGGGTCTCGTGGGAGGAAAAAAGCCTTTAATCGTGCGTGGCGCAAAGGCTGGAATTGGCTCGATGCTTGGTGACGTCGCAATGCGTCTTGTTCTAGACGGTCAGACGGACGTCCTTTTTCTTCGTGCGGGAGGGGGGGTCAGAGACGAAGAGTAAGTATTAAAAGAGAGTAACTCTGTAAGAAAAGTAAAAAAGAACCGCGACTTGGAGAAGCGCGTGCGGTAGCCAGGCGAGTGGGGGGACTAGGCCATTCTTTAGTAGCTCAGCTCATCGAACCTAACCACACACGTAGAGGCGAGAGAACTGCCAGACTACACTAGACGTTGGCGTCCCGGGGGGCCAGGCCAGGTTCGAGCTAGTCTATCCGGCAGTGGTATCGAGTCACACACATTCAAATGACACAGAAAGCGCGGCTACGCCAATGCAACACGGACGAGATCGGGGTTGGTGCCGGGGTCGACGACCGGGATGGATGCATGGCAAGGGTGCTGTTGGATAGGACACCAAGAACCGAGGAAACAAGGGGCTTCTCTGGGAAGAGAGAGAGAGAGCGAGAAAAACGGCCCAAAGACGAGAGCCAGATACGCTAATCTCTTCCCAGACGACTCGTCGAATCCGCTTCCTCCCCCACGCCCCGCAGGGACCTGACGGAAGTGAGGAGAGAAAGTGGAAACTGGCCGAGATGTTGATGCGTCGGGCTTGGATTAGTGGAGAAACGGTCCTGGGTCAGGTCAGTTATCCGTCATTCTCTGGATGGACAGCTACTCTGGGCTCTGGTTTTCTTGTAACCGGTCGACCGCGTTTGGACTCTCTGCTTTCCAATGTCTACGGTGTATCCAACGGTCGACCCTACAGCCCGGACATTACTACGCATCGTCTTCCTGACCCTCTGTGATGATCGCCCTTTATCTATGGAGCCGCTCTAGAGTTAGAAGACCAAGTGGAAACTTGTGGACTTGTGGAGGACGGGGGTTGTCTTGGGCAAGCCAGATTAAACCGGTCGGCCTGGGAGATGCAAAGGGGACCACCGTCAGCCACCACCCCTTACGGGACCGCGATTATCTCTAGGCATTGGGGGACAGGCCGCAGGTGTGATGTGTGCGACCCGTATCGATGATTGATTTCGATGACAGGTTTATCTGGGGTACATCGCACCAACCCAGCATCAGCGCCGAAAAAGCCTACGCTTTCGTGGTTCGTGCGTATCGTAAAGACGCACCCAAGAGCCCCCTAAGCTCGCCCGAAGCTGGGATCCTGAATCATGTTCACCGCGGTAGGGATAAACGTCTAGGTGCTCCTTTCCGGTAGCCGGCATCCAATCTATTCTATCACGACTAGAGTTGGCGATACGTCGAATCGGGTAAACCGGACGGGCTAACAGGGACAATCAAACACCTAGACTACTGACTGATAAACGCGGTCCGCGATGTTCTTGAAACCTTCTAGTCTGCCCTGCAGCTCCCCCCCTCCCGGGGCGTCGCGTGATCGGATACAGGGACACGCAGCCTAGAGCGCGGTTAATCCAGTTCCCCTCTATGCCCCAAGTCCCAAAAGGCTTGTTTCGCTGCCCGTGATGTCATCCCCTCTGTTCCAGGAGCCCAGGTTGCCTTCCCCTTCCCCCTCCTACCCCAACATCAACCTGCTGCAATGGAACGTGCGGTGCAGCAGGTCGACAACGATTGCATAGCCCGGGAGCTTGGCATGGCGTGTGCGTTCTGCTGGGGGACCGCGCTGGGTGGCGTGGTGTGCCGTGGTGTGTGGTCTTTGGCTGTCTGGTTGCATGCTGTGAGATTGTACTCACGAGACTAGGTATACAGTCCCGAACCATTAGCCAGAACCATGAACGGTGAACCGTCAAAGGACAAGGGGCGTCGTGCCATCGCTATCTCGCCCTATCACGACCCTTACCCGCCTCATCTCAGCTCGTCCCTAATGCAGAACGGGGGCCCATTGCAGCAGCATCTTATCAGCGTCGTCGAATCGGGCCCCCGGTTCACTCTGGATTCTTCAATGTGCTTGTGTCGGCCAGCCCGAGGACGTGGTTCAGCCAACCGAGCTTGTCCTGCTTGTCCTGCATGTAGATGGACACAGGACACCGGGCATCAAGCAACGCCAATAGTCCATCCCAAAGAAGACGCCGTTCACGCTCTTCGTCTTCGTCCCGAACATCTTGCAACTTCGTATGCTCCACGCCTTCAACCATCTTGAATTTGGCTTACGTGGATATCCAACCCCGCAAAGCGTCGAGTCCCCCGTATCATCCAGCGGGGAACGGCCAAATGACCATGAATGGTCCCACAGCCCACTCAACCAGTGGGCTCGAGCGATAGCGGCCGTTCTCGGAAACGGAAAGCCGGGGGTTCGGAACGGGGAGGGACAGACACATCCGCATGCGCCGCAACACGCAAAAAACCCCCCAATCGTCCGTCTTCCTTCTCGACTGTTCAAAGAGACTGTCGATACTTCACCGCAGCAATGAGCTGGAAGTTTGTGTGTATGTATGTGTGTATGCTCAAGGGTCTCGTTAGTGCTGGCTGGACAGTTTCCGTGTAACGCAACAAAACCTTTACTGCACCTCCAACCGGGTACTTATCAGTCCTCTCATGCGCCCCTGACCACCCAAAGATAACGACGGACCCAAGTAGTAGGGGGGGACGTGGTGTCCCGGGCCACACTCTGGGGCCTCTCTCTTTCTTATCAGTTGCCCCCTTACAAATGGGCATGGAAGGCTGACATTGGAAAGATATCGTTCGGCCCGATCAATTCACCTCTGCTTGCTTCCTCAGGTTCCAATGCTTTGTCCAATTCTAGTTTACACCACGGCTCTTGTCTGTTGCCCGGCGGGGGGTTAGTCATGCCCCCCTCCGTCCCTAGGTAATTGCGCAATTGGTCTCGTTGGACCTACTCCCCACCTCGCCCGCTCGCTTGCTTACATGGCACCCATCTTGTCTCCATCCCCGCGTCAACAATAACAGAAGAAGACCAATTCAGCGGCTTCGACACAGATGGCCGAATAAATCGTCGTTAATCATCGACCGCCCAGGACTGTCTGAAGAGTGCCCCAGGATGCCGGGCAAAAGCAGAGGTTCCTGCCCACGCGTCCCTTTCTCCCCATCCCCCATTCTTGCAAAACGCCCATATAGCAAAGCCCGTCATCCATCACCCAATCGGCCTCTCCTGATAGCTGTCATTGCTAAGGGGGAGGAATGAGGTTTAGCGAAGTTGCCCCAAAATAATTAGCTTAGGAGTTCCGCAGCTTTCGCACCTATCTATGCAACTTGACAACTGCATCCTTCGCGTCTAACCTCGAGTTACATATGCTTCTGCTTCTCAATTGAATCTATGTTCTCAACCATCTCCTGCGCAACCAAAGCAAACGTCGGGATTCGTGTTTATCACCTAGACAAAGTCTCACCTCAACTCCAAGGCCTCTTGGCGATCCTCCACTCCGGGGCCGCCCGATGAGTCTAGAACAAAGGGCACGCGATGAGAAGTCACGGAGGCTACTTGAAATCGAACGCCGGCACCATCGTGCCGGCTGTTTTTACTTGCGACTACGTGCTAGGTCCTATTTTCAGCTACCGTAACACCGGCCGTTGTTGTCTGTACTGCGGTCATTTGGTGCCGTATTCTTTGCCCAAAAGACTTCGTTCTCTCGTCCAATGCCCACCAAAAGAAAAGGAGAGGAAAGAGTTTGCTGCCTTTTTTTCTGAGCCGATTCTAGGTCCCGTCCGGGACCAATTCAGTCGTATCCCCCCAAAACGCCTTGCGAAACTGCGACTAAATCACTCATGGTCCACGCCGTAGAAAGAAAGAACAAAACCTTTCCACAAATACGCCCCCAACGAGAGAACACTCCATGTCATTGCAATAAGACTTCACGCTCCGTCGTCTCGTCGACTAGTTTCCGTTGTTTCAAAATCTCGACCAGCTCCGTCATGGTCACTGGTCGCGTCAGGAAAAGGTCCATTCCGCTCGCAAAACCCTCCTGCCGAGCACCCACCGACCCTAGACTGGTGATTGCAATCACAGTCACGGCCGGCAGGTTGTGCGCTCGCTCAAACTTCCTGATCCGCCTTGTGGCTTCGAGCCCGTCCATGACAGGCATCGTTATATCTGTGCGTCGTTAGGCGTGGGGCTGAAGAACGATCGGGCGTCTTGAGCAACAACTTACCTATGAGGATGCAGCAGAATCGCTGTGGCTGTGATGTGTACGCTTGCAGAGCCTCGAGGCCGTTGGACGCGGTGGCGTGCCGTTTGTGAAGCCTCTTCATATACGCCGACAGAATCTGTTTTCGTCAGTAATCCGCACCGACATCGTTCGGAGAGGACGAGCGAACCTTCAGATTGATTGCATTATCGTCCACTAAGAGGAACTCTGATGTAGGCTTGACGGTCCCAGGGGAAGGTGAGACGCCTGTATTCATGCTTCCCCTGGCCGAAGTTGTCGATGTGGCGGGCGCCGCCAAAGACGCGGCAGGTCGGAACGGAAGCGTCAAGGTGAAGTTGTTGGAATCGTTTGTATTGGCAATCCAACTGTCCCCGGGCGACTGCGACACATTTTCGGGAGGAGGCGACGTCACCCTTATCATCTTCACCGTCTCGGACTGTGCTCTGGGCCTTGATGTCAGGCTGTCCGACTTCAACACACGTGGGCTTGGAATCGGCGCGGGGAAAGCATCAGACAGGGGGCTGACTGGCATTGGCCTGGCGGGTTGGCGCTTCTTCCAGCGGTCGAGGGCGCAGGCCAGAGCCTTTGCAACTTTCCTCGGTCCGGTACTACATTGGGTTAGCCTCGCAGCTCGATCTGAGGGATCGGGCGACTTACGGCTGAGCGATAAACTCCATGACGGCTTCGTGTCGAAGAGAGCGTCTGTACGATGTGGCAAGCTTCTGTGCGGCCTCGGCGTTGCCGCAGACCACGACGAGCGGTGTCTCGACACCTCCAGTCTCCGACAGACCATACTTTCTGAAGGCTTCCTCACTGCACACCATCAAATCTGAACTCGACGAGCTCCGGCTGTCCTCATTGATCTTTACGTCCATCCACTTGAAAGGTAGACTTTCTACGGGAAGATCGAGCCCGCCGGCCCGGAGCTCCTCCGAATCATCGAAGCCCCGGCTGAATCCACGAACCGAGAGTTGAGTGCCAGCCAGTGTGTTCAGATCAGCCGAAAACTTCCTACCACGGCTGCTGGCTTTCCGCGACAGGATAAGCGGCATTGACACCGTAATGCTCGTCCCGTGACCGACCTGGCTTCTGACACTAATTGTCCCGCCGAGACCCGTCACAATTTGCCTGACAAGACTCAGACCGAGACCAGTTCCCGGTGCCAGGGCGTCTTCCTGGGAAAACGGGGTGAAGAGCTTGTTGTGAAGGAACTCCTCGCTGATGCCTTTGCCCGAGTCGGTAACGGTCAGTACAACCATCGACGCAGACCTCGACGATTTGTGTACAACTTCCTCTTGCCTCAGGTGAACCTTGATGAACCCCTTTGACGTATACTTGAGCGCGTTTCCAAATAGGTTCATAACGACGCGGCGGATGGCACCTGGGTTGGTGTGGAACACCCAGGAGTACTGCGGGTCAATATCGACAAGAATCTTGACGTCCTTGAGGCTGGCAGGCTGAGTTTCGGAGGGGCTTCGCCGGTGGCCCAGACCATCGGATGTAGCGATAGCGTCCAGCTTTTCTTGAGCTGGCGTAGGAGGGCCTGAGGTTGAGCCATGGCGAGCCAGTGAAGACGCAACCATGTGGTGGAAGCTGTGGCCAATGAAGACGCTCTCGATGACTTCCTCCACAAGCAAGTCGAGATGCACGTCCGACACCAAACTCATCATTCCCGACTCAATGGACGCCGATGTTTCTGGCCGTAAACCGCGTCCGGGTCCATTGTTCTTGCGTTGAGACTTGGACGCTCGAAGGAAGGTGTTCACTTTGCTGTAGTCCAGTAGCTATGCCGTGTGTCAGTATGTGCAAAAGACGGCGTAAGTGGGTGGGCGCCTACATGATCAATGGTGTCAAGCAGCGTCTTGCCAGATATCTCAATAGTGTGGATAACATCAACCTGGAAAGCGTCTAGCTGGGTATCATGGAGAAGCTCAGCCGCGGCAACGACCCCGTGGAGCGGCGACCGAAGCTCGTGACTCAGAGATCCCAGAATATCCGTCTTTGCCCTGTCTGCCAAGATGGCATCGAGCCGGATAACCTCGGACATGGTGACCATTCCGAATGCTCGCAAAAAGGGCAAGTCCGCGGCTGGTGTGAGAATACGAGTCGCGCTTTTGCTCCAAACGAACCCCCCGGCAAAGCATCGCTCTTTGGAGGGATCCCACAACGGAACTACCGCAACACTCCTGGCGCCTGGAAAGATGTCGACAATCGTCTTTGCCTCGTTCCTCTTGGTGAAATACGAATGGGCCGCCTTGCTCTCGGGTCGCGTAGAGAACTGTTCGGTCTCTTCCGTAGGCGTGACATCAGCATCGTCGCTTTCATAGTCGGCAGCCAACCAGTTACCCGTCTCGTCGAAGCTGAAAACCTTTCCGTTCGGATACCTACGAAGCAGTTTCCTGAGGAACCTCTCGCGCAAAGTCAAACGACCCAGCTGTGGCGCGTCTGACTCGCCGACGGCATCGTCCGTGGCCGATGATCTTCCAAAACTCTTGCACCATCGATCGTTGACATCTTCGGGTCTTTCTGAGAGGCTGTCTTCGCTGCTCGAGAAGTTGTGGTCTGCCACCTCACTCGCCCTGCGAGGGCCGCTCACAAGGCCGCCGAATGATCCGATGCTGGCATCCAGAAAAAGAGCGCCGTCTACTTCGAGAGACTTTCTAATCACGTTGGCCGCCCGCGAGAAGATCTTGATGGTTTCCGACAAGTGCGGATCTGGCGGGGCGGTGGTCGATGTGGTCGTCGCTATCGTGGCAGTCGTTGCAGTAGTTTCGACAGAGTCGCTCGAATCAACCTTGGTAGGAGAATTTGTCGGCTCCGGGCTAACTGGGTTGAGGCTCGGTCGGGCGACTGGAGGAGATCCGGGCGACGACGGGCCCGTCTCTGGAAACGACGCGGCAAGCCGAGGAGGCTCGTAGCCATTCGGAAGCCCTCGTGGGTTGAACTTTGCCGGCGGAACGGGGTCGTCTCTCCCCTCGATGAAGTTACCTAGTCCTTGCACCATGCGCTCGCTGCGGCGATAGCTTTCGTTGACCCTCCTAGCATCGAGATAATCCATTATCGTCCGCGCCGTGTCGCGGAGAAACTGCACCGAGTCGGCATCGAGCCCGGAGCGTGGGCGGTCATCGAATATGCAGTATACGCCGATGTTGATACCTTTGGGAGATCGGATGGGAACACCCGCGTAAAAGCGGTTATATGGGGCTGCCTCAATGTAGGGACGGTTGGAGAATCGCCGGTCAGCTGCGAGATCCGGGACTACGGCCACGGGGAGCTCGTGCTCATTGGCGGGTGCCGTCGGGAGTCGGGGGTTGGACGACGACTCTTGGGTCGCTCCGACCAACACATGTTCGCAGATTCCAAACGAGCGAGGGATAGCCGTGCCGCAGAGCCAGAGATGATTTTGCGTGGGATACTTGGCATTTGGCGACAGTGGCATGGAGCGAGTTGCCTCAGCGACTATGTATTGGTGGTGGCGATCGAACAGAGAAATCAAGGCTCGCGAAGCATTGAGCCGCAAGGCGCCCAGCTGTGCAAACGCAGTGAGCCCCGTATCGGGCGACGACGAAAGAGAAGAGGGAGGGATCGGTCGGTCGGGACTGTTGAAGACGGCGCTGGGAATATGGAAAGAATCATATCTTGGTTAAGGAGGTTTTGTCAGTAGGTCACCAGACAGGTCATGAGGGCTTCGAGACCCGGGCTTTCCAACAGGCCTCGTGGAGGAGTTACACACTTGAATGTCTCCCATTCACGGGCACCTTCTGATATCTTGTTCATACTTCATGCAGGTCGTCGTAGAGTGGAATGATGCAGGTCGTCGTGCCCATGGTCTGCTGGACGGGCTGATCCAGGACGGCGATAGGCAACGAATGCGAAGAGAGAGGATCAAATTGTTTTGTTGTTCCCCGTTGTCAACGACGTCGTCAAGGCAAGGTCAGGGCAGGGCAGGTCAGATCAGATCAGAGGTAAGACCAAGATCGGGATGGGAATTTGGATGAGAATCCAAGTCCTGGTTCAGGTCCTGATCAAGGAGGAGGAGCATGCATCGAAGGTGAGGCGGCGGGCATGACTGAAATGCCGCCCCTCCCCGCTGAGGTAAAACAGGGATCCTGGAAGCCGGGATGGGGGCTGTTCGAGACGGTTGGGGGAGAACAAGGCCATTTTTGGCGGGTGGTCTCGCAGCGGCGGCAGCAGTAGCAGCAGAGCGTTAGGACAGACGAATGTAGGCGTCAAGCGAAGGCGCACATTAGCGCAAGGACAGTCGGTCGAGAGGGGGAGGAGTGTTCGTGGGCCTGCAGGGCCCAGGCCAAGGCGGCGCACATCCTTGCCTGGAATGGGAAACCGGTTCTTTGGGCGGTTTGGAGATTGGCCATTGCGACCCATGGAGGCTAGGGTTCCAGGCCACCCAGTCATTCCGTGGACCATTGTGTGGGTGTCGGAGGTGCGCGTGCGTTTTGTTGGTGGGAATGGGCACTCGTTTACCTTCGTTTTGCGTTGATGGGTGACCCTCGGAGACTCTGAGATGCGCTAGACGTTAGCGGCCGGCGCAGAGAAGCGTGCGGCTTGCCTCTTTGCAGCATGGGGGCAATAATCTGGCGACATATCGAGCCGGACTCCGCAGCGTCATGTGCGGTGTCGGGTCTAGTGTACCAGCGAGCGCAGGTGTGTGTCTTGGGTAGCCCTTGAGTTCAGATGCATGCCCAACCCCGATGTGCGCGATGTGCCGGGCTGGTTCATTCGGGCGAAGATTTAGGGGTCTAGACGACGTTAGCGCTGCGGCACGTGGACGGGAAACCAATGGCGACGCGGTGTTTCCGTGTGTTTGAACATCCAAAGGTAGCGGGAGAGCAAGTGAGTCTGGTGTTTTGCGAGCCGACGCCTGAAGAAAGAGATCGGAGGCTAGCTAGGCGGGACGATGGCAAGGGCACAGATGGTTCGGGGATGTGGCGTTGGCCAGGCCCTGTTGATTTGGGAAAATGGTAGATGGGTACACAAGAGCAAGACACCACAGAAGCAAATAGAGATTTGCTGGCGAGATCTGAGAGCGCCTGCGACGATGATGGGCAAAGTGTAATCGTGGTAGCAGTTGGGCAGAGTTTCCTGCGCTGTGGGCGCGGGCATCGCCCATCTCCAAGGTTGTGTGTGACATGGGATCGTTGAAAATGGATCACCGTGTGGATAACGGGGTCGATGGGCATCGACTGACCGAGGTCGGTTAGGGTGTTTGCAGACCATTTTGCTCGGTCACCGCTTCGCATCGCCGTCATTGTGCTGGTATCGATGAGTTGTCGTCGTCGTCCATCGTGTACATCGCGAGCTGACCGAGAGAAGCACCCACAGCCCTCTGGCCAGAAAAAAAAGCGGTGGGGAAACCAACCACAGCATCGATGACGGGGCTAGCTCCGGGGGTCCCTTGGATCTTTTGGGCTGACTTGCCCCACCCATGTATGGTTTTCAGTTCCTGACCCCTGGCGAGGGCCGATGGGGGAGAAAACATGGCCATCGAGAAGAATCGGACAAGGCAAGGCGGACGAAGTGATGCGGTGAGGTGACGACAGACGGGGGGTTGCCGATGCCCGAGTGCCAATGTCATTGATTGCCAACAATCACGATGATGACGACGATGCTAATAATTCAGAGGACGGCAATGAAACGATGATAGGTTTAAGTTACCTCAGTGCATTTTATCTGGTAGGGTAGGGCGAACAGAGAGCAGAATGGCCGCTGCTGGCCAGGAAGGACCACGATGAAAACGGGAATAGCAGCGACAGCGGCAGCGGCAGCAGCAGAGGGCAAGTCGCAGCGTGGCAGGTGCGCGGAGCGTGCTTGCGTGCCGTGCCTGCATTGCTTGCTTGCTTGCTGCCTCCTTCCTTCCCGTCGTCATCCGAGTCGGAAGCCGCTCAGCCGGGAAAACACCACGCGTCGCCCCCTACTAACATACAATGTACTACTATAGCACATGCAGGCAGGAGTAGGTCATTAACACAATTGCAGGCGCATGGACACATTGAACATATGAACACGGACACAGTACCACGGCGTTCCCCGGGGCCACAACGGGGGAAGGAAGGGGTGGGACGAGACGATGGAGGGAAGGGGAGGGGAGGAGAGGGGAGGGGGCAGCTGCCGGTTGGAAACTTGGAATCTGATCAAAGTTGCTGCGGAACAAAGCTGGGAATGGGCAGGAGCAGGGCCATTGACTCGTTCTGCCCCGCTCCTTCCCTTGTTTGGCTTCGCCGCCCTTGTAAACTTTGGACATTTGCCCCGCAAAGATGCTGTAATCCCGTACTGTGCGGTGACAGTGCAGGCACATGGCCGTGTCGTGTTGGCCGATTCCCAATGCCAACGGGCAAGACGAGTTCGAGTTCGAGGAAGAAGGCACTGGCGGAATTGATTAGGCGCGGTGTAGGTTGGTAGGTAGGCTGGTAAATTGGTAGGCAGGTAGGTAGCTGTTCTGCAAGGGACTGGGTGAGTGTCGGCTCTGCCTGCCCTTTCCTCCGTCCAGAGTCTCCATTTCTTCGGTACGTCCCCTCATTCCCTTCATGCGCCTTCCAAGTTTCAATCGCGGCTGTGACACTTACACACGGCCTTTTCATTTTATCACCGACGCGGCAATTACTACCACGGCCCCATCGCCAGCGCCAGCGCCCCTCGAGGCACTGCCGGCCGCACTCCGTATGGTGCCCCGGTGTTCCCATCATCAACACGTAATAGAAGCCGACTCTGGGTGTTTCTCTGCGTCTCCCTCCCGCCAGTGGCCACCATCACCAACACCACCACCACCTCTTCATCCCCATCCGTCCCGTCATCAATTCAACACGAGAGGTGAGCCACTTCTCCGAAGCTTCGCACGCCTGCCCGTCCGTCCGTCCATTCTGTTACCGCTCCGCCGCCCCAATTAATGCACACATTCCTCAGCCCAGGCGACAATGAGACGAATACACCCAGTTTACCATCAACTCAAAACGTCGTCATCATCCTATCTCGCCTTCAGCAAACCCAACGTCGACATTAGCCGTTGCTGGACGGCAGAAGCCTCGTGAAAGCCCCCGCCAGCCAGGACCCACCACCCACCGTTGCCCGTGACCGAGCATACCATTGTTGATTGATTTACCCGAGGGGGAAGTGGGCATCCATGAGTCCTTGGAGATTTGAGTCCACGGCGTATTATTGACCGTTGACAGGCAGGATTCAAGTCCGAAAGCCCTGTGTAGCGGCTGTCTGTGGCCCACCACTGCTGCACAAGGACCCTTTCTTGGACCCTGATTCAGCCCCTGGCCCATCATCCATCCCTGCAGCGAGCATCCGTTGCCGTGGCCTTGCTGGGGGGCTTTCCCTCTCATATGGCGACGCTCAAGGCACACAGGACACACACAATGATACCCTCTCGCCCACTGGCCCCTGGAAGCCCGCACCCACTGCCCCAAGACCCCCGAAGGACCCCGATCGGTCACCCGGGACGGCCGAGCCACCACATCGAGCCCAGAATGTGACATCGACTTGTTTGTGTGGCCGGGGGGGTCAAACGACGACGATCAGCACCAAAACCATCATGGCACTGAAAACCATTTTGCACGAGAACCTTCTGGCATCATCTGGCCCTTTCGATGACGGCTTTGAGGCTGACGATTGTTCGTAATTGGTGATCCTCTGTACTATGCAGTGGACGACAACCGACACCAGTCTCGTAGTTTAGTAATTCCTACCATGCGGGTTTGGCAACGCCATGTCTTTGCATACAGGTAATAGTACGACTCAGTCCACCTCGTCCCGCATGACATACTATGTAGCATCTCCATTCCAAGGAACTCGGCACCGTAGCAACCCCAAGCAGGATGTCATTCCCACGGCCGACTAAGGTCTCCTGGGCCTCCCCGTGAGCAATAAGGCTATTTCAAGCGTCGCCAACCAGCTTGATCCCGCCCATGACCCCTTCAAACTCGCTGCCCCAACCGTTGCCAATGGCGCCTCCACCGCAATCGGCGCCCAAACAAACCGTTCCCCGTTCCATCCCAAGATAGTCAAGAACTCCATGGGCTCGCCGTCCCCGACGTCCAGGAACGTCTGCTTGCCCCTGCCGATGAGGCTTGCGTTCGTCCATGCCCCACGGGGAATGTGTAGTTGAGCGCGTACGTGCTCTCCCCTGAGAACAGCATGACCGCGTCCACGGTTCCGTTGCCAAACCACAGCCCGCTGTCCCCACCGCTGAAGATGGCCCCCTTGGCGTCCGACGTGGGCTTGATGGAAAACGAGAGCGTGTAATTCCGCCCCTTTTGCACCAGCGGAGTCGTGATACGACACGAGGGCGCAAGGATGGCGCCCTCTTCGCCCATTGCGCACGTCGACGTCGCGTGGTAATTGTTCCCCGACAAGTCCTCGACAGCCGTGCCATTGCTGCCCCTTGCTTGCTTGAAATCGTATTCTACAATCGTCGAGCCCTTGGACGCAATACTGCGATCCAGATTCTGCCCGGGCGTCAGGGGCTGCAGCGCAGAAAACAACCCTTGGTAATCAGCCTCGGTGACCTCGCCTCCCCACTGCTTGTCCGCCAGCGCAGGCAAGCCATCCCGCCACTGGTAGTAAGCCTCCGTCACCGTCGTCGCGTTCGGGCCGTAGTCGTTCCATTGTGGCGCGATGTGTCCCAGAAGCGACGGGCTGTCTCTCGCGGCGTTGTTGGTGGCGTTGTCGCGATCAAAGATGTTGGGCGCAAAGGCCGATCCGTCGGGCGACCCGTGGAAGATGAAGTCAAGGGAAAGTGTTTGTGCATAGCTTTGCGACCACTTTCCAACTGTATACACGTAGTCTCCCGAGTTGAGCACGTCGTAGCCGTTGTTGATAAAGTCGTAGAGCGGGTTGGCCTCGAAGTTGGCCCAGTGTTGGATCGAGACGGACTTGTTGACGGTCCCGCCAACCGAGGGTGCGAACGTGCCCCAGATGCGGACGCTCTTTCCAGATGTGCTCGTTATGTAATCACTCATTTCGTCGACAAACCGCGTGTACTCGCCGACCAATGCCCTGAACTGTAAGCGCATGTTCGTGAGCTGGGATCTTGCGGTGACTTACTCTTCGCTCAACACCGGGTCGACATACTCATCCGCGCCGATGGACACCGTCTTGGTGTGAAACCACGGCAGAAAGACGTTCCAGATACTCTGCATTGTCGGGATCGTTTCAGGGTTCGAGACGTTCAACAGACTCAAATCGCTGTCCAGCCCGAGATCCGGCTTCCACTGCGAAATCACGAGCGCATGCCCGGGCGCCTCGATCTCCGGCAGCACCGTCACGCCCCGCGCGGCGCATTTGGTCTGGATATCGTCAAAGACGTCGCGGGTGTATGACTCGTTAGCACGCTTGTTCAGGCCCTCGAGCGACGGGTCGTCGGACAGAAGGCGGAACGCGGCGTAGAGCGAGAGAGAGCGCTCGCGGGAGTAGATGGCGACGTTGTTGTAGAGGTTATCGCTGAGATGCAGCTGGAACGTGTTTTGTTTGAAAAAGGACATGTAGGCGCACATCTCGACGAGGAACTCGGGGGGGTAGTAATGGCGGGCGATGTCGAGCTACGGGATCCGGACGGTGGGGTTAGCGCACAGGGTCCGGGGGCCGGAGGCCGGGTCCGGAGGGACGCGTATCGGCGGAAGAGCTTACCATCATGCCCCGAGTTCCCCATCCGGGGCTATCGGCCCCGTACCCCAAGTTCACCTCCCCGCCGCCGAGGATCAGCTGCTGCAGAAGCGTCCGCGTCCCCCACCACACGCCCAAGGGGCTCGCGCCGGTAATCAAAACGCCGTCAGCGGTCACGTTCAGCGAATATCCTTCCGAGGTCTCGCGCCCCGCAGCATCCAGGTAGAGTCCCGCATCGCCGAGGGTGAGGAATATCGAGCCCTGCTCCGCGGCGTCGCCGAGCTCGACGAGGATGTCGAGCTTGAGGGCGGAGCTGAGGTCAGAGGCAAAGGTCGTAGCAAAAGAGTGCAGCGTCGGCGGGATCAGGGTCTGTCCAGCCTCATCAACAGATTCTGCGAACTCGGAGGAGACTATGATCTTGCTAAGGGAAGTGGACGGAAGTGTGCCGCCTGTGGTTGTGTAAGGGACGGTTGGGAGGCCGGGGAGCGTGTCCGCTGCGGCGGTAATCACAAGACATATGGGGAGGAGTGTGAAGCGCATCGTGAGAGTCGAGTTTTGGCAAATCTCCGTCGCGATGCTGAACCAGACGAGGGCATCTCAATCGCATCGCAGATGGGAATATATAGCCGTCTCCATCTTATCACGACACACAATCATCATCGCGGTTATCATACGACGACATGGTCCAGCAGGCGCAGGGCAGGGCGACCGCGTCGGGTCCGGACCGATGAGGGGAGCCAAGCCATCCGCTGTAGGGAGGGAAATGAAGAGCTATGCGCTTGTAGAAGGTAGCAATCGGCCTAACATGAGCTTGGCCCCTCAGATGGACGGTTCGTCTGGTATCACTTCGCATGCATACGCACGTGGCCGATATGATGCAATCACTCTGCGCAAGGCATCGCGTCCATGGGGGACATGCAGAGGCAGAAGGGCGGAGATGGCTGGCAACGTTGAAATGCTATTCTGCTAACCCAACATTGAACCAATGCTTCCAACGGAAAGTAACAATGCGAAGCAGAGTCCGACCAGCGTCAGTATTGCTTTGTACAATGTGAAGCGTACCTTGCAGATGGACGCGTCGCGCGGTGGTAAAGTCCGGTTCTGGTTTGATGGCAACGTTGCAATCTCTCTTCCCCTTAGGTTCATCGTTGGAATGTTCCAATCTCCAATCTCCAAGCTCGAGCCGAGTGGAGCCTCCAAGCAATTGTCGCTGCTACTGCGGAGACGTTCATGTCCCCGGTCGGCAATCCATGGCCGGCTTCTCGACTGCTTTGCCGCGGGACGGGCGGCGGGGTACGATGAGGGCCGGGGGGGAGGTGATATGCAGGGGCCGGAAGCGGGGGTTTGGGGAGACGACGTTGCGGTTTTGATATGTGGTGTGATAACATGGCGATTCGGATGGGGAATTTCAGTCCCATGGCTTGTTGATAAGCCTTTGAGGAGGTGAGACTGGGGAAAGGAGCAGAGGGAGATATGTGACATCACTTGAGAATCGTAGACTCTTTCCCGTGACTTCCAATGGTTGAGATGTCGGTGATGCTGATCCGGCTTTCCGCCGCCCGTACAGATACGGCCCTTCTTCAAAGACAGACGGCAAGCAAAATGGGTCCCTGTGTCGGTTTGCAAAGCTTCACACACCAGGACCGGTTGGATGTTTTGGGTAAATTCCCTGGAATAAGCAATGGTCACCACCACCGAGGCGGCGCAAGGCCTGACCTTCAACGTGTATTCATCACGAGGCCGTTACATACATGACCCTCGCTCGGCGCCTCAAAGCACCGCACGTACCGGATTGACATCCTGGAAATGTGACACGAACCGCATCACCGGACTCAGCCGCTGGCCAGCACTGAGCTGCTCCCCGTACGGAGTCAAGCCTCCGGCATGCGGCACCACGACTTCGGGCCGCACGAAGGCGTTGTCATACTGCGAGCCCGTCATCATCTCCGACTCCCCGCCCGTCATCTGCGTCAATCCGTCGACCTTCATGGGCGTTTCGCCCTTGTCCCTCCTCGCCGGATCCGCCCTGTCGCGTAGCATATCCAGCACGTCGGCCCAAGACCCGTCGGTCAGATGCGGTGAGTATATGCCGAACGACGTCATCCGCTCGCCGACGAGGACCTCGAGATCCGAGGCGCTGAGGCACGGGTCATGTAGGACCAGTCGGTTCAGGTTGCGCCAGTTCTGTGGTGCAGATCCCAGCAGCGTGTTGAAGGCCCAGAGGTCCTGGTTCTCGCGCCGGAGACCCCCGAAATCGAGGATCACGGAGATCAGCTCCTCCGACGCCAGCGCCGCGCTCATGAAGGTCCCGAGGCGCTCGAGCTCCTCCGGCCTGCGCGGCGGCCAGGTAGGCTGATCGAAGCCGGTGAACATGGGGTCGCGGGTCTTCACCTCGAAGGCGGCGAAACTCACCCCGCGGACGGCTTTGATGATGTCCTCTCTCTCAGCTTCGGTGCATCCCAGGCCGTGGTACCGCGCGGGCGGCGTGAGGTTCACGGCGAGGCGGGTGAGCCCGGCCTCCTGGCGTCCGAGACTCACCAAAAGCTCCCGGAGGGCTTCGACGGGATGGTCGCTCGCCTCACCCCACCCGTACGCCGCGGCGTACTCCCACTGCATCGGCTGGGTGAGGAGCTCCGTCAAGACCTGTTCGTCGACGAGGCCGTCGTTCTCCCGCCTCGGTTCGTATCTCCCGTGCCACTCGTCCCGCGGGTCCTGCGCGACCTTGTCGTTCACCTCGACTCGCGTCGCATTGCGCATGCGCGCCACCGCCCGCGCAACGGCGTCCCCAAACCCGGCGCGGACGGCCTCGTACTCGTCGCACCGCCGCTTGTACTCCCCAAACGTCTGCACTAGGAAGGGCGGCTCCGCACCGGGCCGCCTCCACTCCTCCATCCTCGCCCTGTGCTTCCCCAGATCCTCCTTGCAAAGCCCGCTAGCGCGGTTGCCTCGCTTCGCTTCGATGACGAGGCTCCGGAGCACAAAGTGCACGAACTGGGCCCATTCGGTCTTTAGCGACGCCGGATACGACGCCAGGCCGACGCGGACGTGGTGCACGCCGCCGCTGATCGTCGGATGGCGCGAGATGGCGTCCAGCTTCGCCAGGGACGCGGGCGTCATGGCCACGTCCACGACGCGCACGAGGTGCGGTGCCGCGAGTTCGGCGAGCACGCGGCACGTCAGGCGCAGGCTGCGGATCGTCGCGACGTCCCCCGGCGGTCTGGCGCCGACCCCTGTCGCGAGGTCCGGGTCATCGTGCGTTTGAGCGCCGCGCTCGCACTGCGCGACGACGTTTGCTAGGATTTCCGGCGGCAGGTCCTGCAGCCTCAGCGGCCTTAGGTGCGGCCGCGAGCGCTCGGCGATAAGGTCGCGGAGGCGGGCGTGCTGGTTCTCGAGCTCCGGAGCGGCAGCCTTGAACGGGCCTGAGGGACGGAGCACGCCGTCCAGGCGACCCCAGTTGGATTTGATCTGGCCAAGGACCTTGTTAACCTCGACGGCGAGGCGGTGTAGGGTAGCGAGGTCGGTGGTATCGCTGACGGTCTTGGCGTCGGCGAGGGAGGACGAGACGCGGGAGGCGACCTCGTCATCGGCCCAGCGGCGGCCGTGGAAGGGCGGGGGTAGCTCGTAGTAGCCATACTCGTGGCCCGGGCTGCGGTCGTCACCGCTGTGGTGGGCGGCGTCGTCCTCGCCGTCACTGGAGGCGACGTCTTCCCGTTCGCGGCGTGACATTGCACAGATTCTGGGTGGAGTGAGTCTTGGCGGTGAAGGTGTGAGCGGGAAGCGGACGGGCGTGGGAGGTGTACAGCGGTGCTTCGATCCTATGTGAGATAAGGGTGCTTGCTTTATTGTGTTGTGTGGATGGCGGCGGGGAATGGCGTCGAGGGGCAACGAGGGGCAACAATTTGGCGAGCCCATCTGAGGAGGATGCTAATGCCTGCGCTCATGTGGATACGGGAGCCAGTGGCTAGTTTTCAGGTTGCCAACATGCGCATCGTTGGCTGACCAGTTAACAATGTAATGGCATCGAGCTGTTTGTTTGCTCAGATCAGATGTGTTCTGTTGGGGTCGTAAATTCGCCCGCGACAAAGAATTCATCCATCTAGGCAATGTCTGACGCCCTATGTTATCCATGATCGGCATTTGTCTGCCTATCGCTTGGCCGCTTAACCGGGCTAGACCGGGGTCTCTCTGCATGTAACCTTGATATGAGGGGTCCAAAAGATGAAGCTGGGTTTACTCTTGAGTCCACATTGTTAATCTGTGTTGTTTCAATAATGTCGATATCTGATAACCATTCGTCGAGATGTCTCCATGTCTCCATGTGTGTCTCATGGTTCCACGGCGTTACTGTCAATTTGGTTGCCCATGATTGATTGGGCAAATGTTGCAGTGGAACTCATTATGCAAGGCCTGCGGGAGCCGTAATGGAGCCTTGGGTGTCGATGGATTATTTATGTCAAGGGAATAGGCTAGGTGAAATAGAAAAAGCCTTGATCATGTTATCGTGTAGCATGGAGGAAGATTGGTTGGGTTCACGATGTGCTAGTTTGTGGGTAGGTTCAGTGCTGAATGCCAGCTGACTCCGCAACCCGTGCATCTAACTGGACTCTTGGATGCTCTACATCGACTTGTAGTCTTTCGTGTATGGCCAAGGAGACTCTCACCGCTCATTCCATCCGATTGTGCAACCTACCTGTTCTAATCAAGACAGAGCCGAGTTTGCATAGCACCATGCGATATTCCTGAGTTCGGAAGATCCGTGACGTGAGGTGTTCTGCCTACTGTAACGTAGTCTACCAGCTGTGATAAGCTGTCTACAAATTCTTATGCGAAAGAAGCATCAATATCTCATTGTGACTGCAAGCATTAACAATGGACTTGGATGAGAAATTTGAGATGCACAAAATTCCTAGTAAACTGTTTCCTACCGAGCTGGCGCAATGGGTTGATGGAGGGTGCACGAAATTACTTCCGCAACAAGCACTACTGGTGATTATTCTGTTTCCTAAGGCTATAGATCTTGGTGTGGCTTGGATTGGCGAAGATGCAGCCCAAAAGGGGCGACCTTAACAGAGACGTTATGGGCCCCACGAACGCCAGTTCTGTTCTGATGTTGTGCGCCAACAAGGGTCCGAGTAAAACTTGATGCGATGTGATTGTGAAAGTCGGGAGACAAACTGTTCATTTTAGGTTCAAGATCTCACAATAGTGGTATCCTTAAGTCCTTAAATAGTCAGAAATTACTTTTCCGATATAATCTGAATAAAAGACGTTGAAAACAGCTACAGTCGAAGTACAAATCGTTAAGGGACAACCAATCAAGCCAGCATCGCTCCCCTCAGCCTCTCCACTCCTGGATTTCGTCAAGAGTGAGGACGTACTCGCTCTCATATATCTGCAACATTTCAGGTCTTAGCTTCTTTTGGTCCAAATACGACGGACTTAACATATTACATACCTTCTTCAGATCGTCGATGCTGTTCCACTCAGCGTTGTTGATGAAAGTGTCGCCCCAGACACAGAAGTACAGCCAGTGGGCCTCGTACGCCTGCAGGAGATCAGGGAAGGGGGCGCTGCCGACTTCGGTCGCGGCAATAAGCTTCTTGTCCTGGCCGAGGGTAATGAGGTCGTTGTACTGAGTCGTCATGGGCTAGACACATGTCAGTCGTAGGTTCAGCAGTGAGTGAGGTAAAAGACGTACTCCGTGGCCCTGCGCATACACATCGGCGCTGAGAATGTCAACAGTGTCATCGCCCGGGTACCAGTCCGCAGCAATCGAGTTCCATATCCAAATGAGATTGTTAAGTTCGTGATGGTTGGTAAGACGGTCGTACAGCAGAGCCCAGAGCTTCTTGCACGCCTCAGGCGATTTAGCTCCCCACCAGAACCATTGTCCTTCAGCTTCATGCAGAGGACGCCAGAGAACGGGTACACCGGCGTCCTGTAGCCTCTTCAGCTGGACAGCGATGGCGTCGATATCGCGGATGATGAGGGTGTAGTTGGCGTTGGTGGTGTCGGCAAGAGCGGTCGAGACGTCAAAGTCTGTGGCGCGGGTGTAGAAGCCGCTCCACCACTTGTTCTCCTCGGTATCATAGAGGCCAGTGGGCGCGTTCCAGTGCCAGAGAACCGAGACGATACCGCCGCGCTCGTGGTGCGTGATGGCCTCTTCGACGGCAGTGCCGACGGTACCGCGCTCAACACGGCTAGGGGAGTAGTCCATCAGGTCGACACTGACGAGTGCGGGCAGCTTACCGATCAGGTCGTTGATCCAGTTGGAGTAGGAAAGCTCCTGCTGGCCGGACAAGATGTTCTTGCCATAGATGGAGCGGAGGTATGTGTAGAGGGCATTTGCGTCAGCGTTGGCATTCGAGTTGACAAGAGCAGTGTTGATGTTGTGAGGTCCGCGGGGCTCAGTCGCCGTGAGAGTAATCGAGTCAATGAGGTACCTGTACGGCGTCAATGATGAGCTGCGTATGTAGACTCCATGTCTTGGTACTAACCATCCCCAGTTGGTTACGATGTCAATTGTGTTGCTACCCTCGTTGAGCAACACTTGACCGGCATTGGCAGTGGCCCAGGTCTCACCGGCAGTCAATAGCACCTCGCTGGCAGCACCGCCGTTGAGGATTACGTTCGTGCGCTTCTCGCCATAGATACCAGCATATCTAATGCTAAGGTCGAAAAGTTTTTGGCCTTCACCCTGGCAGTCAACGTTGATGGTGAGTTTGTCGGTGGCATCTTCGAAGCCAGTCACGTAGCCGGTGCCTAAGTTCCCAGACACGTTAAATCGATATGGAACAATCAATGACAGCTCAAAGTACCTGTGAAGCCAGTCTGAGCCGTGTCGACCCTCGTTCCAGAGAGGACACCATTTTCCGCCTCGTAGATTTTGGGCCCAGTGCTGCCGATGCAGTTCTGCGAAAACACGCCAGCGACAAACGCAGAGACGAAACAGAGCGAAAGCGCCGTGGATCTCGCCATAGTTTACGGAAGTTCAACCAGAGATGTGCCAAGGAGGAAGGGAGAGAAAAGGAAGGTATCGCCTGTAGAAAGCATCTTCTTAGGAGCAAAAAGAACGTGTTGGGTAAAGGGTATAGATATTTAAGCTTGCTATTAACCTCACATGCCTGAGTTTAAAATTTCTTCCTCGAATGCTGCCTCCTCAATGTGAATCAATCCCGCCATATGGCGTAAGAGGATCATGAGTGGCAGGCGATCTATGAGATTCCAGGGGTGACGGACGTTAATTCTGCGTCTCCACATTCTGCTCAGTTGCCCCTTTGAATACACTTATGCTTCGATGGTGCTGTATGGGGATGACGGAGGAGGCTTGGCTTTCATGTATGTGAGGACGGAGTGTGACCCTCCGCGTGCGGCAAAGGGGCAACACGCCGGCTCAAGGGGGTAACCACGCACGGGAGGCTCCGTCTCGGTACTTCTCTCGGACGAGTGCCATCGCTGCCACGTGAGGGAGAGGATGCAGCCATAGCTATGATTTGCGGACAAACTTCACATCTCATGGCTGGGCGTCAACGACCCAGGCCAGCATCAACTCTCCAGAGTCTTTGCCTTGCTGCAATCCAAGGATTCAATCAAAACTGGCTCATCAGTTGTTCATCCGAACTTTTAGGCCTTTTCCCCATAATGGAGCATCTCTGATTACGGATTGGCCGATGATCCGCCGCCAAAGGCTTTGCGTGACACATGGTCCGGCCTTGCTTCCTGATCCACTTCAACTTCAACTAGATTCGAAAATTTAGTTCTTCGCATCGACCTCGCAAGGGTATCGTGCCCCCGTCTAGATGATGCCACCCAAGTCGCCGCCAGCTCAACAACTAGCAGTTGCTTACAACTGCCCGGCTAGCTCAATCGGTAGAGCGTGAGACTCTTAATCTCAAGGTTGTGGGTTCGACCCGTAAGCATAACACCAACTCGAGCTCTAAATATAATTCATATCTAACACAAAACAGCCACGTCGGGCTCAATTCCCGTCAGCGATTGACTTCCCTTTTTGCCTTTTCCGCGCATGCAGGGTTTACAAGTCCATCAGCCGGACACTTTGTCCATTTTGCAAATGTCTTGGTGTCTATTGCTTCACAAAACAGTAGAACGGCCAATGCGACGTCGCATCAAAATTGCACACAGAGATGCTATTTTTCATATGGACAAGTCGCTAAGCACCGAAACAATCCAGCGCAGTCAGACCATCGCCTTTGTTTCTCTCAAAGCTCGGCCCGCTTTTTGACTTCCACCTCACGACTGAAGTCCGGCATGACAATCATCTGCTTGATCAGGTTTGGTGGTCTCAGACTCGGATTCTTGCCATCACTGCCTTTAAGCCGGATATCGTAGTTGAGAAGAAACTCGATAAAGATGCACTTGATGATATAAACCGCGAAGAAGCGGCCGGGGCATGCGTGCGGCCCATGTCCAAAGTTAAAGGCGTCAGGTCCGGTAGCTGCCGCCTGGTGCTTCATTTCGCGACCGGGTTGCTCTCGAAGGCGGGCAAAGCGGAAACCATCGAACTCGGTCGGTGGTGCGTTGCCAGTGCCTGTGTTGTACTCGGTGCTGAAAGCTTTTGTTGAAGAAGAGTTACTGAAGTCGCATTAGTTTCATTGAAGCTCGAGAAATATGCCTGGTGTTATGGTGTCCGATCCATGGCTTACTAGACGCCCCACAAAGGGAACGAGATGGCAGTTCCAGCCGGCAATTTCAACCCGTTGGAGAAGGTCTGGTCTTTTCGAAGTCTTCGTGCTGTGCCGCCTATGTCACCATTAGCGCTGCATGTCCGTGTAAGTCGTTCAAGAGTTTCGTACCAAAGTTCATCGGGCTCGTCCGCTGGCTTTCTTTGATGAAGCTATCCAACTTCTTGAGTTTGCTGAACGAGCTCTTGGATAGAAAGAGCTCCCCGTTCTCGTCTCTCTCTGCGTCGTCTTCAGCCATCACCTGCTTAATCTCCTCCCGGAGAGGGTCGATATAATTGGGGCGACTTAAGAGGTCATAAAGAGCCTGCACGAGTGAGTAAAGCTGCGTTGTTCAGCTGTTCGACGGAAGGTACTTACAAAGGTAGTCGTGGTAGACGTGGTGTGAATAGCAGCAAAGGACAACAACATCTGGTTCGTTCCCATGTTCTCAGAAGTCCTATCCTTAGCGGGGAGGTACTTCATCACCCAGGACACAAATGCCCCAGGAGCACCAGGTTTCGCCGGCTTCTCCTCAAGGGCACTTTCGTTCTGGAGCACTTCATTCACAAGTGGCCTCATCCAGTCGTTGGCCTTTTGAAGCGCTCGGCGCATGTGTCGCACCTCCGGAAGGAAGGGAAGCACCCAGGGCCGGATCCATGGGTTCCATGCCAACGCAGCCATCCTGCATTTCCCGACGTCTGTCGCAAATGTGATGGAGGCCTTTATCCATTCCTCATCGCGGCTTAAAGGGAGTCCGACGAACACGCGGCTGCTCATCAGTGCAACCATACGAAGGACCACGTGATATGCGTTGAACGATTTCCAATCCTCCAGCTCCCCGAACATTTGCTTCATGGCGAATTTAACCTCCTCCTGAATAGGTTGTAGGATGGCCGGTAGGTTTCTCGTCAAATCCACTCTTACAGCCTCGATGAGTTCAGTACGGCCATCCCCGAGATGAGTGTATTTGCCGAGGAAGATGTCGTACAGTTCCGCCGCGAAGGAGAGCTCCGAATCGGGTGCGTGGATGACTTCCTGGTAAAGTTTCATGGGAAGAAGCACCCGCTGAGGGTCGCAGGGAACGACGAATGCAGACTCCGGGTACTTGAGCACAGTCCTCGGTCAGTGGTCAACTTTTTGCAATGGCCCATTTTTGCTTCATTACCTTCTGGTATCCTTCAAGGACCGCGTTTGCCAAACTCTGATCGGTCGGAGACCCAACCACTGGTAGGCCATAACTCGGCTTGTATCTCTTGCGCAGTCGCTGCACGACGAGTATCGCAGTCGCAAGAGCGACGGGGAGCCAAATCTGCCACAACATGTTGTCGATTTTTCAGCTGCAGCTTGGTGATGCAGATGTGAAGAACGGCAATACCGGCAGAAAGCAGACATCAGCCCCCAGTATTCTCTTATACCTCGGCACTCCGGGAGTTTCGGGGTTTTCAGCGACACTATTTGAACCTTCGCTGTCGTACCAAGTCCCCACCTGCTATAGAAAAGATCCGCGATGTAAATTCAAGACTCTCGCTTGCGCAATTTCTCGAGGAACGAATTGCTGGGGTTGCAACTACCGACATGGGCGAAGAAGAAAGCTTACCAGGATCTCGGCTAGTTTCTCCATAAGCGAAGTGCTCTGGTGCTTACCAGCTAGACGTCTTATCGTTCAAGCTTTTCTTTTGGCGTCTTACAAAAATCTACACGTGCCAGTATGGTGGAACGACAGCGATTGCGCATCCAATCGCATACCCAGTATTTGAAGGCCGTTAGCTGCCACGTAGTCCGTGCTTTACACATCTCCAAGAAACCTTGCCAGTCATGAGCTCCCGGGTACTGCCAATCACTATATCGAGGTTCATCTGGACTTAGCGATGGCTTCACTGGGGTCGTGAAGCAGGGAGATCCGCAACTAAAAAAGCTCCAAAACGAAGCGCAGTCATCTCGATGGGTAGTGTTCCAGCCGCACAAGCTTCACGTCGTGCCTAACTGTCGACATTTTCGTGAATTTGGGCAATGATGTAACGTAAGTATTAGGAATCATCACTCACGGCAAAATTTTGTGTTGTAAGGGTAAATCCATCGCTTTGGTAAGTGAGCAAGGTTGCAGCGACGTTCGAAATCTTGGGCAATTATCCAACCGAGGCGCCATATATTTGCGTGTTGCAGTTATGGCAATCACAATTTCCCATGGCGAGACTCCCATCCCATCGTTTCCCCTGAGCCTCGCAATAGCTTATTACTTAGCACTGTTAACAGGCAAGCGCTTTGTTCGAGATTACCCGTAAGGCCACATTTCAAAAAGTAGACGGCCCGGCACGTAGTCCCATATTGGAGTTTTCGGAAGAGAACCTGACTCTTCCAATCGGGGCTCTTGGCCTGCTCGGCAAGCGAACCAGATGCCGGGCGCCATCACTAGGGCGGCAGCCGGAACCAAAGATCTTGTGGCAGGGCAATTTACTAGACACAGCTTACCATCCCACGTTTCCCCAACCTTGGCCTTTGGCCCTGCATGATGCGTCGATCCTACCCCAAAAAGGCGTCTCGGACGGAGGACTCTGTCATTTGCAGCCGCTTGGCCACGCATAGCCGTCGCATTGTGATGAGGCACCTTTCCTTCCGTTCCTCAGATGGCGATGTAAGCTCCGTGATTGAAGAAACGCCGTTGTTGAACTTGACTATGACACTTTAAACAACTATAAGAAGGGCCGTGACGGCCATGTAGATGTTATTGATGATTCTTCTCTTGCGATATGCAAACAAGCCCGCCGGTCGAGTAATTGCAACATCCATTTTTCTCCGCGATAGACTTGCCCGAATTTTCAAAATGCATTTCGCTTCGATTCTAACTATCCTTTCCACCTTGGGCGCTGTTGCGGCATCTCCACGCTATGGTGCCCGAGGCCACCACTTCCGCCGAGCAGGGACATCCAACGACTCGACCAACCCCTTTGAGGGCAAGAAGCTCTACGCCAACCCGGATTGGGCTGAGAAGCTTGAGCAGACCTACGACGCGTTTGTAGCCAAGGGTGACGGCGAGAACGCTGGAAAGGTCCGCACGATCCAGAACATCGGTACCTTCGTCTGGATCTCGAACACTGCGAGCTTGCCTAACATTGACACTGCCATCGAGCGCGCCCGCGCGGCCCAGGAGAAGACCGGCGAGGAACAGATCGTTGGTCTGGTACTCTACAACCTCCCTGACAGAGACTGCAGTGCGGGAGAGAGTGCCGGCGAATTTAGTAGCGAGGAGAACGGCCTGGAGCTGTACAAGGAGACCTACATCAAGCCCTACGCGGAGAAGCTGGCTGCCGCGAACAACTTGACTTTTGCCGTTATTCTTGAGCCTGATTCCCTTGCCAACCTTGTCACAAACTTGGTACGTCGATCTTACTGTTGTGGAGTACAATTTGCTGATTGTCAATGTCGTAGAACGTCGAGTTTTGCGCCAAGGCTCAACCGGTGTACGAGGAGGGTATTGCCCATGCCATCGCCAGCTTGCAGTTCAACCACGTAAACTTGTACATTGATGCTGCCCATGGAGGTTGGCTGGGCTGGGAGCCCAATCTGCAGCCTTGTAAGCTCTCGGTTCAAGTTGTGGCCGCATAAACTAACAGACTTGCCAGCGGCCGAGATCTTTGCGAAGGTTGTCCAGAAGGCTGGCAACAACACCAAGATCCGCGGGTTTTCCACCAACGTCTCCAACTATGTAAGTACCTTGACTAGTCTCCTTAGGTAGAAGAAAACACTAAGAAACTGTCAGAACCCTTTCCACGCCAACCCTCGTGCGAACTATACCGAGTGGAGCAACTCCTGGGACGAGAACCACTACGCCCTCTCCCTTGCACCTTACCTCGAGGCTGAGGGCCTGCCTTCCCGATTCATCATAGACCAAGGCCGTGTCTCCAACAGCAGGGAGGAGTGGGGTGAGTGGTGCAACGTCAACCCTGCCGGCTTCGGCATGCAACCCGGCACCCCGGTGAACAACACCCACATCGACTCGATTGTCTGGGTAAAGCCTGGTGGTGAGAGCGACGGACGCTGCGGGCTTGAGGGTGCGCCAGTAGCTGGTGCATGGTTTGATGAGTACGTGCAAATGCTCGTAGAGAACGCAGACTCCTCTATTGTCGCGAGCAAGGTCTAGGCATCAGAGCCTCAATAGGAGGGCCTATGATGAACCGATGTCTGACATGGTTGGAGTTTTCTTCTTTGTTCATTCTTAGTAGAGCCGTATCTATATTCACCATCAGAATGAATGAGAGCTTGAGGACGAGTGCATAGCCTTGTCGATTCTTCAAATCTTTGAGGCTTGCATGGGTTTTTATTACAAAACTTTCTCTAGCAACTAACATCACCTTACCAAAGCCTCCTCCAGCGGACTTTCGCGTCCCTATCCGGAGGTACAGCAGCCGACCCAAAGTAGTGCTTGTCGTCAATCGGCGGCCGATCGGATTTGGACCCATCCTTGCAAGTCCATTCCACAAACTCTATTTCGAATCTCGTTACAAGCATGGCAATGGTCAACAGAATTTCCTGTTTCGCAAAGAAGCGCCCGGGGCAAATTGATATGCCTCCACCTGAAGTGAAAATATCGTCAGTGACGTGCAATGCCGAACCAATGCTAGAGACCCAGAAGGAAGATATTTACCGTATGGAAAGAATTCACTGGGCTTTGCACCCATGACAAACTGCCTTTCCGTTGTCCGAACGCCTGTAGCTTCATCCACCTTCGCTACCTGCTGGATATGCCTCTCTGCCCAAAACTCCGAAGCAGGGTGACCTTCTTGGCTCCATATCTGCTCATCAAGATGCATGAGGTTCGTCAGGGCCTGTATCATGGAGCCCTTTTCCAAGCGATAGCCTTGAAGTTTTGTTGGCTCGACGACTTCTCTGGTGATGGCGATGGAAACGTGAAGGCGCATGCATTCAACGTAAATGGACTGCATCAGGGGCATGGAGAGGAGCTTTGCCGTGTCGAAGGAACGTTCTCCGGTAGCGGGGTCTTTTATCACTGTCTGGAGGGCCTCTTCACGGACTTCTTCAAACAACTTAGGATCCTGCAAAGCTTCCATCAGGGCCCAGGCAGTCACTGGTATAGTGTTTGCGTTGATCCTGAACTGTTAGCAATCGTACTTCCCAGCGGGCAACTCGTCGACCAAGTACTGAACTCACCCAAGCACTGAAATCATGTGAAAGCCTGCTCTAGTCTGCATAGTCATGTCTCTGTCAGCTAGCCACTTCATAAGCAAGCGCACGTAGCGGGATCCGAAGGTTGGTTCCCAATGCGAGTCAACATCGTGCCCCTCCCAGTCGAACGTGGAGAACGCGTCCTTCATGAACTTTTGTGTCATGCGGTTCAGCTTGTCGCGTTCTTCAACCGGCTTAGGGTTTATCCACTTCGGAAGACCGTATACCGCCTGAACTCCAATACTGTCAAAACGCCAAAATTGGTCGATGTAGTCGGGCACTAGCTCCAGGATTCGTGTGCCGCACAAAGACTTGAGCGCGCTCTCGGCCATATCCTTTCTCAAAAAGTCGAACAATCGTACCGTTGCCCATTCCCCCAAGGGCTGTTTTTCCAAGGAGTCGCCAAAGAACTTTGTGAACATGTTGGCTAGATGACTCGTGGATTCAGTCCTGGAAAGGTTGTCTACGGTGAGGTGATGCAGCTGGTACCAGTATCTCTGCTCTTGCGGCATGTTTTCCCAGCCTGGGGCTGGCGTCTTGTTGCGGGACGACTTGTCCTTAAGGAGCTTTTCGACATCTTCCTTTGAAGAACCTTGCAAGTTTTTGACAACCATCAGAATGAACTTTTCATAGCGGAAAGTGGACGACGACCGGAATATGGCCTGCACGCTCTCTCCGCCCTTCACGAGGTAAACACGCATAGGCCCAAGCCAGAATTTAACAACGTCGCTCCGGATCATTGCACGGCTTTGAAAGTTAAAGTCAGCCTCAGAACGCGTCAGTCTACAAAATCTGTGGCAACTACCTGGCACGCCCCATTAATGTGGGCAGGTCTGTCATGTACTGATACGTATTGCTAACGAATGGCAGGACCTCGGGTAGAGAGGGCGGCTCATCTTGACCACTTCTTGCGATAAGCAGATAAAGCGACGCAAGAATCACGACGCATGTGACAAGAGGATGGTCTGCTGCGAACTGCAATGAGCCGGGTGCTGTAACAGCCATGGTGGTAGTGAAAACCTAAAAGTAGGTATAATTATCGTGGAACATGCGGGCTGTGTGGTTGTGGAAGCTGGCGAGATGTGCGGGGTCAGCAGCCATTAGATGACGGGAAAGCGGAAGGATTTATGTGGCGCAAGTTGCTCCAAAATCAGAGAATGCGGTCAGTATGAATCGGGCTAGCGCCATTGGCGAGTGACAGGTGCGGAAGCGAGTAGTAGTCAGCATGCATGGCCTCGTCCCATATTGGCGGCCTAACAGTGAAATCGTTATTTGATTTCGGATGACTCTTTCGTGTTGGACGTTTCTTCAATGGTGCGCTGGCCAGCTAACCATTTATACCAAATTTAGCCCCACCTGCTTCATCATCACTCTCAGTATCCTCCAACGCCAAGCTCTTCATTCGCGACTCAACATCAGAGATATTGGAGGCCATGGTCCACCTTCCGTCCAATGTCGTTCTCGCCGAAGATGTGAAGCTGTCATGGTCCCTAAACGTTGGACGAACTCTCTTTCTCAGCAAATCAAAAGCGTCTCGCCGAATTCTTTGGGCCATTCTGCTGAACATGATCTGTCTTCGGATTTCGCCCTTGGCGCCCTGGGACGATAAAACATCTGGTACCCGCCAACTGATATACAAATTGTGGTGACTACTGCGGTGTTCCACTTGGGAGCGGCGCTCCTCAAAGTAGTACTGACATAATCGACAAAGAGGCTTGATGCTGCCGATAAACATCCATCCATGAAGAACCTGTCGGAAGCGATGTTGCCGCTTTTCTCAAGGCTGTCCAGAAGCAAGATTGCTGAGTGAACAATAGGGGAGAAAGTAAGCCTCTGGTATTCAGCTCGGATCCTCTCATCGAGATCTTTGAGCTGGATATCCTCGACGAATCCCCGAATTGTTCGCATCACATTCTCTTTGGACGTCATACGACCGATAATCCCATCCCCCGTCATACCGGTATTGGTACACTGGAAAGCACGAAACGGACCCTGAAGCCTTCGAACAGCTCCGGCCATAATTCTTTGGCCAAAAGAAAGAACTCAGTATCCTGGGTATAGGATAGAAGTCGGTTCATCATGTGCCACATCTTTGGCCAGCCAAACATGGATTTCTGCTGCATCCTACTTTCGCGGACTTGTCGTGCACAATGGCTTATGCACTCCCCTGGGTTTGAGGCTTGTAATCGTATCAGCCTTCGTAAGAGTTCGCCACGGCCGCCGATATCTGTAGAGAATAGGCAGAAAGCTTAGTTGAGTATCTTTGATTGGACGCTTGGATAGCCAACTTACATTCAGTTACAGAGGCAGACTCGTCCCAGGCAAAGTCAAGCGAGGCAAGGATATCTCTCAAGCGTATCGCAATCACTGCGTCTTGATTCCGTAAAAGTAAGCGATGGTTTCGCTAGGGTTCACCGAGTAATCCTTGTAATTGACCTTCCTCGGTATGAGAGAATCAAGCATTTAGCAAGACAGCCTTGAATCTCCATCTTCATTGCCGTCAGGTATGACGCGATTCGATCTCGATTGAACTGCAGAAAAAGACCAAGCAAGTGCCTTTGCGCACGGGGTTTGTCCTGTGGCAACGTCGCTGTGTGGAGAACATCAAGGAGAGTCGTGATGAAAAGAGAAGTACTCTCCATTTCTCTTGCAGAACGCTGATTTCAGGCAAACAAGTATTCTATAACGTCCCTCACAGCTGGTTGTGGCTCTAGTACCATGACCGAGGTGGTGGTACGGCATCTATCTCCCTTGACGCTGTCGCATACGTGGGTGAGTTTGTAGACAAAGGCTTGAAACATTTGTTTTGGATCTCTTCGATGATCGACATTTTCACAATTGACATAGTCAGCAATCTCCTTCATCTCGATATTCAAGGCTTTGAGAAGGACGAGGGGCTCGTAAAACCTCCCCAGTGCTTTGGATTTCATCGGAACTGTCTCGGCTGGAGGTTATTCTCAGTTACCAATCAGACATTCAAGCTACTGGAACACAAAGAGGGAAACCAATAGTTCAGTGGTTGCGAATCCATATTTAGTTTTACCGGTCAAATTGACAGGTTTGCTGGGTTTTCCTTTTACAGTCATCTATGAGTCATTTGTTCAGCTGTAGTTGTCCATGTTATTTTGTACGTTTGAAGGCGTCCCAAAGACTCTCAACTACTTTTCGGGAGGATCAGGTGGCGTAATCGTGCTCAAACTCGATGACTGTATCAGAAGCAAAAGGCCACTCCACCTCCTCATCAAGCGAACCTCCCAACATATTTAAGGTTAAGTTATTGGTCTGTCCACGATGGATCATGTTCAGCTCCCAGTATCCCGGATGCCTGATAGGCACCTGAACCACGAAGCTTAGTTGCCGGGACAAAGCTTGATATGCTTGTGCAAGATGATAGGTGGTAATGGTCCCAATGACATTACGCAGCATCTTTACTACAGTTCTACCGTTGCATGATGGTAGCTAGCTTCTCAAGAGTTAACGTCCATGACTATCTGGTTCAGTATTTACTTGTGACAGAAAGATTGATGAGCGAAAATATATAAATCGGTACTATCTTTCCACCAGCAACCCAAGTTTTATTTTTCTGTGCTCGGCGTTCAGGTATGATGTCTTACTATCTACCCCAACTCGGCACCTTATGAAACCAATAGCATCCTTGACCATCATTACACCTCGATTATCTTATACTTCTCATCAGAGATCTCTCCTGGCGGCCTTTTGAATCACCAACTCCGCTTGTGTTTGTTTTCACAAGTTAAAATTTTCATACACGATGGACTTCACAACTGGGCATCCTGATCCCGGCGAAGATCCATACTTTAGCCCCGAATCATACGACCTCGCTAGCGCCGGTAATAATTCACAAGTCTTTAGTAACGTATAGCAAGAAGTAACAGCTTTGCAGAAAATCCCGGAGAGGCCGTCAATGGTCATCTTGAAGGCTTCGAGAGTTCACTTGTACCACAATCAACTGATTCGGAGAATCATGGGCCAGATTCAATTCATATCGATAACCCCAGCGACGCCACAGAAATCTTCAGTTTGGGTGATCAAGCAAGCTCAGGTGTCGCTCCGCTTCTGACTTTGGCAGCAAGCTACATCTGCAAAGGCCAAGATGATCCTACTTTGAAATTAGGAACGAATACTGTTGGTGTGTCTTCGACCGCTCTGTATGGACCAAATGCGACGACTTAGTTGTCAAATTCAACACACGCTTCTAGCCTCGATCCCCATGCCCATGGGTTGGCTGGATTCTGTGCTGTGTCCAAACATAGATCTTGGAGCCCCACTGTCTTTGCCCCAGTCCACTGATCCCAGCGATGAATCCTTGGTTCCCTTTTGTTTTTTTCCAGTGATTTTACCCCCCCATACTTTCCAAGGAGCCCTGGCTAAACAGTGCTAGACTCTCATCCAGATCACGTTCATTGCAAAGTGCATAAAACGTTGTACGAGATTGGAAACAAGTTCAAGTGTGTTGTCGGCCTATGATTATGGCTTTGAGCGCCCTCTACTGATATGTCCACAGGCGGCACAAAAGAAGACATGAGCGTCCCGTTCAATGCAAGAATTGCAATAGAAGGTTTCCGTCCAGAAAGGAGTATCACGAGCACTGCTACCGATACCACAAGAAATAGGCCAAGGAAGAAAACATTCCAGACCCACGTCGGCGATGCTTACTGTGTCGACAAAGGGTTTCGAAGGCCTCTCATCTCTATAACGCGGTAATAGGTGGCTTGCCTACAAAAAGCCAAACAGCCATGCTCTCTGACTCTGAGGAAGACTGATGGCATTGGCCTTCCATCTGTTTAGGCAGGAAGAGCAACTTAAAGTTTGCAGATCATGGAACAGCCACTCTCGGGGAACACGAATCCTGACTCATTACTCCAGGCGATGCTATTTCAAAGATGTAGATCACTGTTACCTTGGCGTATATTCTGGTGGTATAAACATCTTTGCTTAGTACCTGCCTGTGATTAAGTTGAGACTGAAATTTAACATGTTCCGGGACTAAACCTTTCTCGTCTACTACGGTTAATCAGTTTGTAGGACTCTAGCTGGCTCATCTCAAACCCAACTAAACAGATTCACATACTGAGTCTTGCTCATAGAAACCGTCACTCCGCAAGAAAAGCTGAGAGCTTCTCAATAACATCGACTCCTCTCTCACAAACAGCCCATAATGAAATTCATCCCTCTCGTCGCCGTTACTACTCTCCTGGCCTCGAGTGTCCTGGCCGCTCCCTCCGAGGGCATTATGTTGAGTCGTCGGGACTGCTTCGACTGTACATATACCACGTCTTTGACCGATCGCTGTAAGGGAAATTGCGGCAGTGACGAGAAGGATGGCGACGGTCAACTGTGCAAGACATGTATCAGCGGCTGTCCGGCCGCTTCAGGAAGCGACAGAAATGGTTGCACCCTTGTAAGCTGCTAGATGTAAAATTCAAATGTCTACTTGCTGCTATGGACAGGGACCATGCCTAGTGTGCATTTTGTTCACATTTAACAACAACCAGTTCAAATTGATTTCGCAACTACCTCAAACAACAGTGTCTTCGAGTTATAATTTTGAGGGGCGTCGAAATGAGCACAAGTTCATTCTATTGGCCAGACTAAACGATACAACAAGCAGTCACATGATGATCATTCTAGTTTGCCTTGTCCACTGCGGCTCTCCTTCTACTCTGCCGTGACGTAATCGCGGTCTTGAAATGAAATTTAGGCGACAATTAGTCACGTGTGACTGATGGGTTCAGTTGTATCAAAATGATCTCAGTAAGTTTTGCCTGTGCATATCGTGCGTTATGCTGAAAAGAAAGTGTTAATGCTCTCTGATATACGATAGATCTCCTACGCCGTGGAGGAACATCGAAAGACGACAACCTCGAACACTATTGGGACGGGGGTGCTCTGATCGACTATTACCCTATGAGTTTTCAGGGGAGGCAATGGAGGATTTGCCTGATTGTGTTGTGCATTCATCCGCATTTAGAGGAACAGAAACATGATGCTGCTTGATACTAGCACGGACTCATCTACAACACCTTTACATTAACTGCTATTATCTGGTGGTCTGAAACTGGTCTGTCGTCCCACTTCTGTATCTCTCCTCTGCATGCATGTGTCATTGGCGTCAAGATATCTGACCTGCTATTGTCATCCTCTTCGCTTTCGAGAGGAAGGCGCAAGGGAGTGACATCTCATCTATAATGTCCAGGAAGTCACCTTTGTAAGGGAGAAAACGGACAACAGCCAAGCGCACAGGTTTCAAGAGTCCACCGTCAGTTTTGGGGCAAAACACGTCTCTCGTGGTCAATCATGTGCCGCGTATTGGAATTTAATTGTCCACGCTAAGAGACAGAATTCTTGAAACTAAGCCAACTCTTTTCACCATCAGGCACCAAGCTGTCTTTTACTGTCGAATTGGCAAGGTCGTCTCATTGACACCATTGGTCCCGTTTGAGTTTCCATTCACTCCGTTCGTGCCATTAACATTCCCGGCACGGTTTCCCAATACAAGGCAGCCTTCAAAGTACTTCTGCAAATCATCAAAGTCCTCGAGCTCACCGATCCAGGCGACATACTGATCAGGTCGCGCGACGACGACGCATCCCCTCTGGTTGTCGATGCCATAGTTCTTGTAAGCTTCTCCATGGCCCTCATGGTAACTCTCATCGTCCACGAAAACCTTGTTGTAATCCCAGCCAGTGTGTGGGTCAAAGGGATGTAGAATGTCAGGGAAATCTCTCAGCAGCTCGGTATCAGTGCGTTTCGAAGAGTGAACTGTGAGGACCTCAATGACGCTGTCAATAGGGGCTCCAGGAGGAGTGGCCCTGTGCAGAAAGCTCTCGGGAGCGTCAAGTGAAGCGCAGAACTTGTCGACGCGGGCCTTCTGGGCAGCATCCAGAATATTTCCTGCGAAGAGAACAACGCGGAAACGGCCGTCCGCCTTGAGTCTCTCCTGGAAGTGCCACGGGCGTGCACAAGCCTGGTTGAGGACCTTGAAGCTGTTGAAGCGCATGCCGACAGGCAATCCAGGTGCAAGAGCCTGCTTTTTCTTGAAGTCCTCTTCAGAGATGGCTGCAACGGACTCAAGAACCTTACTACCGTCACCCTGCTTCAACGAATCGCCAGCCTTGACGACGAGATTGCTGGCGCCGTAATCAACCGACAGCCCAGAGGCAAACATGTTTCCCTTGAGGAAAGCATCCTTGAACTCCTCCATGCTGACTCCTTCGGCGTCCATGACATCCTTGGCCGGGCGGCCAGAGAAGAGACGGCTAAAGCGGTGGTCGAACTCAATTAGATCCTGTGCAACACGACGACGCTCACTCTGGTATGTGCTCAAGATCTCGCGCTTTGCGATGCCTTTGGCGGCTAGAGCAATCTTCCAGCCGAGGTTGTAAGTGTCTTGCATGGAGACATTCATGCCTTGACCAGCCTTCGGGGAGTGGGTGTGAACAGCATCTCCAGCAAGGAAAACACGGCTATGGGCGTCGAAGGTGGTACCGACCCTTTGACCAATCTGGCAAAGACAATCAATATGTCTTCTGTACACAGTGACAGGGATATTGCATAATGCTCACCTGATACGCGGTCCACCAGTCGCAGTACTCGTAGTCGATCTTGTAGGGGCTAAGGATCTTCTGGGCGGCGCAAAAAATTATTTCGGGCGTGATCTTGGATCGGTCTGCCCTTCCAGATGCATCAGGCGTAACCTCCTTCAATTGAATATAGAGACGGACGAGTTTGTTCTCTCTGGGGATAACCATCAAACTGCCGTTTTCAGCAGAGTGGATGGCGCATCGCATACGGATATCGGCTGTTTCACTCCGGTTAATACCAACTACTGGTTCAAATTCAGCACGAATATGGCAACCTACGAAAATCAGTGATGGGGATGATGTCCATCACGCCCCAGATGAAGTCAGTAGCCTCTCCGTCGAGCTCAAACCCGAGAGCTCTTCTAGTCCAGCTACGAGCGCCATCACAGCCAATGACGTACTTAGCATGAACAATCTCACTTGCTCCAGCTCGAGCCTGGCTCTTCTTGATCAGGTCCTCTTCATCGTCATCCTGCACGAGGTTGCTTCGGAAGAGACCGTCAGCAATCTTGCTTGCGTTGGCCACTTGAGGGGGCGTAGCCTCTTCCTCTGAGAGTTGACGAAGCTTCACAGTCACAGGGTAGGCAGAGTCGTCGTTAACCTTGGACTCGTCAATGTCGAGAGACTCAGGGAGGACCCCACGCTCGACTTTGATCTGGTCCTTGGAGTACTTCTTAATGTTTTCGAGGAAAAACCGCTCGATACGTCCCTGCTGCAAGACGATCTGTTGGAAGCGCGAGAGGCCCACGATGGTGTCTGGGATTCTGTCACTGCGGCGGATGATACCATCATTGCCAGGGTTCTAAGGACGCATAAGTACTCTTACTTTTTCTGGAGCTACCGTTCATGTGTTTTACATACCCACATGCAGATCTAAAAGAGCTAGTCAGCGAGATATCTTTGTAGCAAATCACAACATATCATACCTCAATCATGTGATTGGCCTCCTTCCACGCGCGATCCGCGAAGCCAAGAGAATCAAATATCTCCAGACTGCGACATTGAAGGCCGTCGGCCTGGCCGCAAAAGACCTTTGTGCCTCTCTTGTCGACGATGCGGGCTTTGACGCCGCAATGTGCCATCCAGGCGGCAGCCATTAACCTGCGCGTTTAGTGGTTAGCCCATGCTACCATCGGTTGGGAAAGGAGAGCATGGTGGCGCCCATGCGCCGCGTCTAGACTCACCCGGAAGGGCCGGCACCGATGATGAGCCTGTGGAACAAAACGTCAGTGAATCTTTCATCTTCATGACTACAGGAAAGACTAGGTGATGTGCGGCTGGGCTTACACATCGACTTTGGACTCGAGAACCTGGTCAGTCGCCATCTTGGTAGGTATAGTTCAGCGCAACGTCAAAAGAGACTGCTTGAATACGCCGATGATTAAGGTTTGTTTGGCTTGAGAGAAGAAAGAGCAAGGAGACGAAGAAGAGCGTCCGTGAACAAGACGAAGCGAGATGGTTTGCATAAGCTATCGCTCAGGTCGCGGGGCCAGCGAGCATCTTGACTCGTCGTCGAAAGCAGCTTCTTTCTGCTCATTCCTTGACTGGTTCTCCCCACCCGCAGTCGAAGAACTCTTGGTCCGAAAGGCGATTGGTTGAACGCAAGAAATGAGCTGATAAAGCAACAGGATGCTATTCAACGTCTCAAGTGCCGCGAATGCGGGGTTGTGTGCTACGGCTGGCGGAGAAAATTTGTGGGACATGGGCTTATCCCTCCAACGTCCGGGAGCGTCCCGCTGGCGAGGGCCCGGTTCATGGATTATAGCCGATCTGATCCCTTTTTGGGCTCGAGTCAGCGGGTGGCCAGGACCGAATTGGAAGAGCTCATTGCTTGCCCATGCGCCAGCCATTCCCTAGTTACGCGGTTCCCTGGCTATTGGGCCGTGGACAGCGGATTGCGATGGTGCGCCATTTAACGTGGGGGTCAACACAACGCGGCTACGGCATTACGAATGCAGCACACTCTTCAATCCAGCAAGATGCAGGGCTCTGTTGCCTCGCTCGGTTCAAAAGCTTATCTTCAGGAAGAACGATGTATGTAAGCCAGTAGCCCCCCTGTCGACTTATTTTTACAAAAGGAGACACAACATGAATGAGTTGGAACTACAGACCTTTGCCAGTCTTCCCGGAATTGTGTATTCTGACGAGTCTAACACCAATAGTTAACTGATAATAAAAGTGTAGATGGAATTCTGTGTCATCCCATGGTAGTCAGAAACCATGCTAAGCGAGGTGCTTCATATTGTTGCGTCTCGATACCATGGTACAGTAGATCCCACGAGTTTTTTTTCTTCTTGGCCACGCCAGAGTCATGAACTTTTGCCCCACGCCCACCCGGCCGTTAATTATGGGACAGAAGGAAACTGCAACCGTAATTTGTGGGCGATAGTACAACCTCTTGGCGATTCCACACCAGCAGTCGCAACCCATTCGTTTCATGACCTGTTGACGTGGCACTGATGCGTAACAACGACAAATGTACTGGAGCCTTCGCAAATCCCCAATGAAAGTACAATAATGAGATTCATACCATGATAGCGCCTAGTTTGATGGGTGACTAGTTGCACAAACTGGGGTCTTGCGTGCAGCCTTCTTCGGAAGACAAAATAAATGTCATGTCTACAGAAGATATAGAGACTCAGGACCCTTGGGAGTATGTCTCTTTACGGAGAACCCCCTGGCAACTTCAATATGCAAGCATGGGTGGTTCTTCGCCCAGGTTCGTGCCTTTGTACATACACTATGTAGTACGCTGTAATCTGTGTCCACAGAATTACTGGTTGCCCCTCTTGGTTATCTATGGTCCATCTCGTCGCTGCATCTAACATGACTCAGTCAGATATGTTGCATGTTGACGAGTGGCTTCTTATTTAATTTGTTCTTGCAACATACAGAGTAAAATTGGTCAACTCGGGTTACCAGGCATAATACGCCCAGGGGCATTGAAAGGGTCCATCAGGACTACTCCGGGACCAATGCCCCAAAAGTAGAAGGATCGACCTACTGCACCTCAAAATCCAAGCAAGAGGATCCGGCTATGGGTTCCGTTGAGCCGATGTCTTGGAATTGGAGTCCCGTAGTGTAGTTGGGGCGCGGAAAGCTACTGAATGCGACAGTACGGAGGAAGGCTTTCGAGTTGTGCCGAAATGACGAGCGCTCCTGATGGCACTTACGGATTCGTTCTCTTCCTTTGTTTGACGATGGATTAAGCGAGATGCCAAGCGGAATACTGGAGCAATGGCCAGGGGAGGAACGGCAATGCATGTCGAAGATGATATGCTGTTTAGACACCAGGGAAAAGGTGCTAGTGTTACTCAACAACGTTCCCAATGAAGCCCACCTGTTGTAAAAGGAAACTATTTCTGACGGCAAGCCGTTACTGGGCGTCTAGAGCCTAGAATTTGACGCACGTCGGTTTTCCACATCATCTTAGCGTTATCTTCATGTTCGCGCATTGATATTTGCTGAGCCCGCAACGCCTTGATTTCACACGAATCATGCTTCCGCCGGGCCACTGTCCGGTCCCCCGAAGAACGCGTCGATCGTGCGATTTGGTTCTCACCGTGTTGTATCCAGAGTGGAATTTTGCTGGGGTCGTCTCCTCTGTCACCGTTACTATGCAAAGCGGAGCGGGCCCCATAACATTACTTACCCCTGGCGATTTTGGGAGATACACACTCGAAGCGTAAGGCTTTAGCCGTAATATCCATGACCATCAAGTCGAGGAGGTGCTCCAAACACAGCAAGGACTTTTTCTGAGCTGGTATCCCTGCAGTCTCTTTGCGATCGACAAGATGTGCCTGAATTTTCGGAACAGGAGCCAGGGGTTTGGAGACGAGGTAGACCTAAGTCGGATAACAACGAGAGCAGTGACGAATTGCCGGTTCAAGCCTCTAGACCTGACCCAATCGTCTGCGCGCCTCAGGGTTTTTGTTCATGGGTTTCGCCTGCAGTTATTTACACTTCGACATCCCTTCGGAATTTATAATTTCGGCATAGCTGCTGGACTCAGCTACCCTCTCTTTTTTTCCCACTATCAGTGTCTTCATGTGTTGGTTCTGCCTTTCACCATGTCAGCCGAAGCCGAGAAATTCATCCGAGAAGTCTGGGGGCTCCAAGGTGCTGCGTACCTTGTAGTCGGGATGCGATACTACAGCCGGATCTCTACGTTGGGATGGCGAAAGGTTTCCTGGGACGACCTCCTGATGGGCGTCGCAACTGTGAGTTTACTCTAACGAACCGTACAAGAAACGTATCTGACAGCCGTGCCTAGCTTGTGTACACAGCCGAATCAGTTGCAGCATATTACGTCGTGGCGTTCTGGAAAGGATTCGCCAATAATGGCATGACCGACGAGCAACGGGCTACTCTAGATCCAGCATCGGAAGAGTGGCAGTTGCGAGTCAATGGATCCAAGACTCATGTCATTGGCCTCCTATTGTATACAACTCTACTATGGCTGTTGAAGGCTTGCTGGGTCATCTACTACTCGCGCCTGACGTATGTCACACTGTCAACTACGTAGGCGATTCTAAGTACTGACACTCGGAAAAGGGATGGCGTACACAAGATGAAGCGGATCATATTCTGGGCCATGATCATCATGCCAGTCACCTACGTTGCCTGTCTCTTAGTTGCATTTTTGAAATGCATACCATTTGAACATCAATGGCAAATCAATCCTTCGCCAGGCAGTAAGTGGCGTAAACTCCTATTTGGGAAACACTCATACTCATGTAACAGACTCCTGCATGCCCGCAATCTCCACTCTTCAGACAGTCTTCGTTATGGCCATGAACACTTCCACCGACTTCTACCTGATGGCTATCCCGCTGCCAGTATGTCAATCCTCTCTCTCCTTGGGTGTAGTTGCGGATTGCAACACTATTGAGTGCTTGCTTAACAAAATATAGATGGTTTGGAAGTCACACCTTCCCTGGCGGAAGAAGATGACCCTTATGGTTATGTTTAGTGGGGGTTTCCTTGAGATGGCTTTCGGTATAATGCGTTGCGTTTCTATTCTTACAGTAAGTAATGAACCCGAAACACAAGACAAAGGCATGCACTAACACTTGTCCCACCAGGCTGGCGATACCGACCCCGCGCAATCCGGATACTGGTCCGTTCGAGAGTCTTTTGTTTCTGTAGTGCTTACAAACATGCCGATGGTCTACCCCCTCTTCAAGAGCTTCATCGATAAAAGCCGCAACATGAGTACCAACAAGAAAAGCACCATAGGCGACAGCAACGGCTACCGACTCGGAAGCTATCCAGGGAAACAAGGGCCTAGGAGCGGAAGTCATCCACTGTCCATTCCAAATGACACAACATGGGGCTCAGATGAAAATATTGTCTCCAGCAACGTTGAGAAAACGATCGGCAGCGAAGAGACTTCGGTCGGCTCTTCTGACAAGCATCCTCAGAGCCCCTACATGCCTCAAGGCCACAATACTGCAGAAATAGCATCTGAGCTCAATCGGATTAAGAATCGTCACTCGATGAGAACAAAAAGACAAGAAGGCAATGGACAAAACCACATCAAGGTCACTAAAGAGTACACCATCTCAAGGGCTGATACCGAACTTGCAACACAGGATAGAAGGATATTATGAAAGAACAGTATAAATATTATCCAACTGTTGGAATAACAGCACCAGCTGGTTGTACGACACGCACGACTCAGGGACACACATCATGGCAGAGGGCACAGACTGGATATTCGGCTCTCGGTTATCCATTGAGGGGATCAAAAGTATATTCATGCCGAACTGACTCAGGGACGTACGAGATCATATATCTTGTGTACGAAAGCCAAGTCTTGTAGTTAGGAAGATAATCACGGAAAATACATCTTTGGTTCACCCTAACTTTAACCCGAGTACGATCGTACAAACGGGTTCTCTCAGGAAGAGAGAATCCATTCAACACTGATCAGTGGTTGCTTGGCAATCCGTGCGATTGCTTTGTGCAATCACAGATTAGCAAGAGTGAAGAGACAAGACTTAGGCTTTACGGCCGGGCTACCGGGTAGTCTTGCACTTCGTGCGAGGCGAGAAATCCTCAGGGATACCTAAGGGGTCACGCTAGAAAGTCTCTTGTGCTAAGAAGCCTTAATCCTACCTATTGTCGCCTGCTAAGCTGAACCGGGTAGATAGGATAAAGACGACTTTTGCTTTACTATCGTACAAGACAGATTCCCGTTGTCGCCTGCTAAGCTGAACCGGACGAGAATCTTTATTGTACTGTACGTAGAGTACAAAGTGTGCGCCACGGCACCAAACAAACCAATTTTGACGTCGTACGATACGAAACGACTACCGAACACAACATGGCTTCCCAAGAGGATCCAGAAGACAATCGTCAAAGCCAATATGACAATATTGATGGATACCTGCCAACGTACGAAGAAATAAGTGCAAGGAGCGAAGTCCCACTGCACACGTGGAAGAAGACTGTGAATCCTAGACGCTGGGGAAATCCAGTCGATATTACACAGGCACCGTCCGAAGAAGAGATGACTACGTACATTGCGTACATCAACATGGAAATGCTTCATCTTAGGCAATCAAAGGAAAACCTGACAATATCACTGTACGAAGATTTTAACGAATGGTCTACCTTCCAATGGGAAAAGGTCTATCGTGCGTTCAGGGCAGAGTTCATACGACTTATTGAGCTAAAGGGATTCCGATTACCGCCAATAAGAAATGTGAATCAACAGCTAGTTGAATTCATCAAGGAGATTGGGAGGAAGTTTGATGAGCAAGAAGAACAGCTTTCTACTCGTACAGCACTTACACCAAGTCGTACGATTACAACAACTCAAACACCTGTTCGAAACCCTGAATCAACTTTACCCCAAAACACAGCTGAACCGACAACAGAGCCAATCAAGCCCCCGTACGATACACAGACAACTCAAACATCAATTGTACGAGAGCAGTCACAATCAGCTTCAGGAAACATGCCTCCTGGAACAAGATTCACACAGGAGGTTGAGAGTTTCCCACAAATCCAGGGTCGTACAACACCTTTACATCAAGGAGACAGCATCTATGACCTACCACCAAGACGAATAGTCCAGAATGGATTGTGCGAGCCAACTACAATCTCAATCTTCCAGAAGGGATGGAGAAAGGACAGGAATTATACGGGCAAGCCGTACGATATCCTGTACGACAAGGCAAAGGTCTTTATCAGTTTTTGTCGACGCCTCAGGATCACTGAAGATCAATACCATGCAGTATTTCCTGATATCTTGGCTGATCGTGCGGAAGAGTTTTATCTCCATCACATTGGACCAACAAGGAGATGGGACGAGATGTACAACATGTTAGAAATGCACTTTAACACTAACATCAACCACACTCTCTATTGGACAGATTGGACAAGTCTATCCTTCGCACGAGTCAGACAAGACAATCCAGACAAGAATCTGATGGACGTATTAGAGATACTCTTAGACAAGATACCCCTCGTACAGCGGGCACTTGGCCCAGGTTTTCAGGGGGAGATTATGCTTCGTACGCAAGTCACCCAAGCGTGCAGAGGTGTACTAGAGCTAGAAACTGCTCTAAGCAATCTTAAAGCACATCACACATGCGAGCAATTCTTTTCTAGCCTAAGAGCATCACTACAGGTCGCTTTAGACAGGAAGTCTATGTCGCACGACATCAACTTTGTGGATAGAAGATACTCTAACAACAAGAGTTACCCACGACCATCGTACAATAGACCGTCAGACAACAGAGGATCTTCTCGACAACCTTGGAAAGGTCAACCTTCATCACGACCTAGGTTTAATCGTGCAATATCTAAGAAAAGATGTTTTGTGTGCAAGAAGGAGGGTTGTTGGTCTACGAATCATTCGGACGAAGAACGTAATCGTGCGAAAGACCAATACCTTCAGGCATGCGGTATACTTGAACAAGAACCACAGAGAGATTTTGCCTCGTACCTTCTTGACTTTGAAGGAGAAAACCCAGTGGACGAATCGTGCGATGAGGAGGGAGAATTCACAGGAGATGAAGAGACATCAGCTTTCCTAATGTCTTCTTCATTCTTCCATCGCACGACAGGGGAGGATATTTTTTCATTACCAAAGACGTCAAAGGCCTGTCAATTCTTGTTGCACGATCCTTATATCTCATCGTACCAAGGGGAACTATGGGATACAGGAGCAGCGAAGTTCTCTACCGTAGGGAAACCTCAAGTGCTTGCATACCTACGGGAGAACCCTTGTACGGCAATATCCTGGGGACCAGGATCAGCAAACGTACGATTCGGGGCAAATGACTCAATCACATCGGTTGGCACTATGGAAATGGAGAATCAGCTTGGAAAGGTTACGTATCACATCCTTGATGCTCCTACTCCGTTCCTGTTTTCATTGTACGATGCAGACAGGTTAGGTGCATATTTCAACAACGTCGACAACGTGATTGTACGGCAGGATGGAAAACCTATCCCAGTCGTACGGAAATGGGGTCACCCATTCTTCAACCTTAGTCGCACAGAGGCCAGCATGTTCTTCACAGAAGGACAACTCCGAAGGCTTCACAGACGATTTGGACATCCTCGTACGGACCGTCTTTACCACCTCCTGAAGAAGGCTGGGCATCACAACATTGACATCAACATTCTAGAAAAGGTCCAGAAGTTTTGTCATCATTGTCAATCGCACGACTCAGCACCGAAGAGGTTTAAGTTCACACTTAAAGACGAAAGCTACTTCAACTATGAGATAGTTGTGGATGTCGTACGACTAAGAGACAAGAACGCCTTACACGTTATCGACACAGAGACAAGCTTCCAAGGAGCCACCTTCCTGAAGTCCTTATCTGCACGAGATACGTGGAATGCACTTTGCAAGTGCTGGATCAGCACGTACATTGGTCCACCAGACCATATCGTACATGACCCAGGTACAAACTTCGCATCAGCAGAATTCAGGAACTATGCCGACATCATGGGCATATCGTGCGAAGAAATGCCAGTAGAAGCCCACTGGGCAGTAGGCAAGATAGAAAGAGCTCACGCTCCTCTGAGGCGTGCGTACGATATCTTGTATGCTGAGCTTGGGCACAACACGGACGAGGAAACCATCCTCCAGATGGCTGTGAAGGCATTGAACGACACAGCTGGTCCGCACGGCATCGTACCTACACTACTTGTCTTTGGTACATATCCAAGGATTAACAAGGACTCACCTCCATCGCCCGAAATCACCCAAAGGGCAGAAGCAATCCAAAAGGCAATGAAAATGCTTCAGAGCATTCGTGCAGAAGTAGAGATCAATCGTGCGATCAACACCAGAAATGGCCCTAACCTCCAGAGCATACTATCACTACCGATCCAGAGTGAGGTTCTAGTATGGAGAGAAAACAAGGGATGGACTGGACCGTACAAAGTCCAGGCTATAGAAGGCCATACGGTGACAGTCAAGATGGTCAATGGTCCTACACAGTTTCGTGCGACACATGTCAAACCATACCATCAAGACACAGCACAGTCAGATTCAGATAT